ACCGCTTAACTGTTTTTCCTTTCCTTCTTTTCTCCTTCTTTCCTTTCTTGCTTCTTTCCCTCTCATTCGTTCCCTTCTCTCTTTCCCTCTTTTCTTTCCTCTATTTTCTGCTTCCTTTCTGACCCTGAGCAGCTGCTGCCTGCTTCTCCTGGCCACGACCCAGCCTGGTATATCCTTTGCCAATTCTCTAGACCAAGCCCTTCCCTCCTGTGGCCCTGCCAGTCCTTCCATCATCACTCCCAATTCCCTGTGCCAGCACATGGGATATGCCAACCTCTACCTCTTCAACCTGCCTGCGCATGACCACAGCGGCAGTTGGCAGAGGCCTGGCAACCTGGGGCCTGGGCCAGCCTGGAGGGAAGCCAGATCTTTGGGGTGTGACATGCTGTGTCACACACCTTCCCCTGATGCACACTTACCCACGTTATGATTTCCCTTTCCTGTTCAAGGATTTCAACACAATGCCAAGACATCTTGTGCTGCTTGGGGTGAACTTAGACAATAAGGGGCCAGAGAGAGAAAGAAGCAGAGTCAGAGAGAGGGACAGAGAGAACCCTAAGGCAAAGGTGAAGAAAACCAGTGATCTGAGATTCTGCCATTAGATGTGGCTCTCTACAGTGCTGGGAAAAAGGAGAAGTGCCTTAATATTATCACTCTAAGTGTAAGTGAATTTTTCTAAGTTTCTCAAAGGACACATGTCTTTCCCCATGGCCATGGCTGTGTATATGCTATTCCCCTGGCTTGGAAGGCCCTTCCTGATCATCTGAGGGCTCTGCTCATGTAGCCACCCCTGAAAAACCTTCCCTGAATTCCTACAGGGGATTTCATCAACCTTCCCTTTGATGCCAGAGCATCTACACACATCTGCACACTTCTCTCTCTTTCCCTTAAACTAATTGGCTTATGAGCTGCTGTGTCCCCTGCCAGCTATAGCCTCCTTGGAGACTTGCCTGGTTCTGATTCTCCTCACATCCTCTACCTCTATGCCTGGTACATGGCTAGTCCCTGGAAAATGCTTTAAAAAATTGCAGGAAGGTTCAAAGATCAGGCCTTCACAGAGGAAGAAAAAGTGTGGGAGGTGTGAAAGTCTCAAGACAACATGACTCTGGGTTCAGCACTTACCAGCTGTGTGACCTTGGGTAAGTCACTTAACTTCTCTGTGCCTCATATTCCTCACTTATAAAATGGGAACAATATTAGTTTGTAGCACAAAGGGTTATATGAGAATTCAATGAGTTAAGACATGTAAAGCACAAAGAACAGTGACTGGCATATGTGAATCACTCAGTACATATTAGTCATTATTATTATTAAAATGATACTAGTAAAAGTTGCTCAAAGGATTTAAAGAACAAAAGTGATTTTTACAAAAGATTTGGTTTATTTACTTCTTACAGAGAGGGAAAGGGAGGGAAAAAGAGAGGGAGAGAAACATCACTGTGTGGTTGCCTCTCAAGCGCCCACTACTGGGGAACTGGCCCACAACCCAGGCATTTTCCCTGACTGGGAATCAAACCAGTGACCCTTTAGTTTGCAAGCCAACACTCAGTCCACTGAGCCACACCAGCCAGGGCACAAAGGTGCTTTTGATAAACTGTAAAGTATATAGGAAGGCCTTTGCCACAATCATTCTTAAAAATATTAATAGAATAGCAGTGGCTGATCCATCATGATTTCCAGAATTAATTCCCAAGCTACAGGCCACATTGCTCCTTTTTTGAACAAGTGAAATGGTGAATGTGATACTGGTTTTTCAAAATGCTAGAATGACAGGCAAAATCACGATGTTTTAATAAAAGGTTCACCTCCTGTCCTGGCTGGTGTGGCTCAGTGGCTTGAGTGCCAGCCTGTGAACCAAAAGGGTCAATGGCTAACGGTGGTCACTGGTTCAAATCCCAGTCAGGGCACATGCCTGGGATGCAGGCCAGGTCTCCAGTAGGGGTATCTGCTTGAGAGGTAGCCACATAGTGATGTTTCTCTCCTCTTTCTCCATCCCGTCCCCTCTCTCTAAGAAGTAAATAAATCAAATCTTAACAACAACAACAACAAAAAAGGTTCATCGCCTGGCTATATGCATAGCCAGTTCTGGGACTTACCCAACTCCACACATTCAAGAAAGTGTTTTCACTCCCCAGGTCGTGACTACTGGGAGCCAAGGCAGAAGCTGGTGAAAGAGAAGCAGGACGGGGTCTGTTATTTTGTTTTTGGCAGGTTGGCAAGTCTCTTGGTTGTGCCAGTACACAAAGGGGAGTCACTGCCCACTTCTACCAAACCTGTAAAGTTAACAAAAATTTTTTTGGCTATCAGATTGAAAAAGTAAAAGAGCTTGAAAGTCTTTGGAATCCATTTTATCTGTACAGGTGGGAAAACTGAGGCCAAGAGAGGGGAAGAAACCTGTTGAAAGTCACACAGTAAGGCATGGCCAGGGCTAGAACCCAGTTCTCTGGCCCCCTAGCTCACTACCCTTCCACCAGCATTTGCCTTCCACAATCTCAATGCTCCCCATGCTGGGAGTCCCATGTCTCCCAATCTTTAAATGGAAAGTGATAGAGGCCCAGCAGAATCAGTGGCCCTGTTCAAAGGTGGAGCCACACTCCAGCTCCCCATCCCCAATCTCCCTCAGTCCCTGATAACCACCAATCTGTTTTCTGTATCTATGAGCTCAGAGTTTGTATCTTTTTAAGATGCCACATATAAATGAGATTGTATGGTATTTGTCTTTCTCTGTCTGACTTATTTCACTTAGCATAAATGCATTCAAAGTCCATCCATGTTGTCCCAAATGTTAAGCTTCCATTCTTTTTTATGACTGAATAATATTCCATTGATTCTCTCTCTCTCTCTCTCTCTCTCTATATATATATATATATACATACATATACATATACATATATATATATATATATATATATACATACATATATATATATATATATATATATATATATATATATAAAACGAATCTTCTTTATCTATTTATCAATTGATAGACACTTAGGTTGTTTCTATGTCTTGGTTATTGTTAATAATACTGCAATGAATGAAGTGTTGGGGGACATATATCTTTTTGAGTTAGTGTTTTCATCAGCTAAATGTTCAGAAGTGGAATTGCTGGGTAATATGGTAGTTTTATTTTTAATTTTTTGAGGCACCTCCACACTGCTTTTTCAATAGTGGCTGCATTAATTTACATTCCCACCAACAGTGCACAGTTTCCTTTTTCCCCACATCCTTGCCAACATTTGTTATCTCTTGTGTTTTTGATAATAGCCAATCTAATAGGTGTGAGGTGGTATTTCATTGTGGTTTTTGTTGTTGTTGTTTTGTTTGTTGTCCATGTGGGAATTACACTCCATGCCTTGGGTTTTCCCTTCAGTTTTGAGAAATAATTGACATACATCGCTGTACAAGTTTAAGATGTACAGTATGATCCCTCACAAGGGGGTTCAGTTGGTTGGAGCATCATCTCATACACCAGAAGATTGCAACAAATGCTTCTCTCTCACATCAACGTCTCTCTGTCAAGTCAGTAAACATGTCCTCAGCCCTGGCTGGTGTGGCTCAGTGGATTTTGTGCCAACCTGCAATCCAAAATGTCACAGGTTTGATTCCCAGTCTAGGTAGGGCTCACATGGGTGTTGCAGGCCAGGTCCCCAGCAAGGGGTGCATGAGAAGCAGTCACACCCTACCTCTCCCTCCCTTCCCCTCTCTAGAGAGACAGACAGAGGGACAGAAAGAGGAAACCTTTAAAAAAATGTCCTCGCGTGAGGATTAAAAAAATAAAATGTACAGCATGATGTCCATATATTTGACTTACAATTTTTGTGAAGTGACTGCCACAAGAGATTCAGCTAACACCCATCTTCTCATATAGATATAATAAAAAGAATAAAGCAAAAAGTTTTTCTCTTTGTAATGAGAACTTTTAGGATTTACTCTTATTATACAGCAGTGCTAGCTATAGTCATCATGTTACATATTACATCCCTACTACGTACATATTTTATAACCAAAAGTTTCTAGCTTTTGACCACCTTTCTCCAATTCCCCTCCCCTACCCCTTCGCTGTGATTTGCGTTTGAAAATGCCACAGATTTGACCATACTGTAGACCCTCCAGATGGATACTCTAAGTTCCTATTCTTCTGTGGTTCTACTATGGATCTTTCCACATTTTCCAAGTCTCCTGAATATTCCTTTTCTCTGCAGCTCTCAGGAACTTGAACTCACTCGAACTAATTTAGAACTGTAGTTGGGGGTGGGATAGGAGGTATTAAAGCCGACCGGTGCCTCATTCATTGCACACCTTGGTCAAGAGCTAAAGAATTATTACTGAATGCACAGGATTCTGTTTCTCCACCGGCACAACGTGTGGAGAGAAACCGGCTGGCTTTAACGCCTTGTACTTAAGTACCTGAGACCTACAAACGTCACTAAATTTCGGAGCCCACCCCGCTAGTTCCTACAACACTTGCGCGCCCAGCCCAGCCCGAATCCGTCCCGCCCACTTCGCACCCTCGAGGACTCGGCGCTCCACGGGCGTCTGTCAGCCTGCCTTCCGGTTTCGGCGCCGCCGCAGGCGCTCCTGCCGAGCGCCGAGCGGCGGATGGAGATGGTGTCCGCGGCTGTGTGAAAAACCAGGGAGGCCCAGAGCCTGGGCGAAGGACTAGACAGACTAGGGAGCCCACGCAAGTCCGACCAGGTACTGAGGGCTGGGCCTGCCTGGCCTGAGGACGGCGGCGCGACTCCCCCCAGGCGCGGAGAGGGAGAGCCGCGCCGTCCTGGGATGCTGTGGTTCTGGTGGGTGTGACTTGCGTGGTGGGCGATATGGCTTTCAGGCCGTCCGGTTCGCTGGTGAGTGCTTGCCTTGAATGGGCTCTGTTTGGTTGTGTGGTAGGGGCGTGTACAGTTGTGTTTGGTTGTGCGGCTGACGGCTCGATGGGTGGTCGTATCCTGGGTGGTGTTCGGTTCTCTGGTTGTAGGCGACTTAGGCGTCTGGGAGTCCGAGTTTGTGTGGAGTTGTTTGTAGCGATTAGTGTGTTTCTGTGAGATGTGAGAAGTTGTCATGTCTGCTGTGTGGGATTGAGTCTTCGTGTTGTGTATGGTTTTGCGACGTGTGCATAACCGTGTTGAGACGGGCTGTGTGCAGTCTTGAGGCCATGATGCGGGCGGCTGTGCGATGAGTAGTCTAATCTGCCTAGCAGCATTCAGGTTGGAGGTGTAGGTGCAAGATAGGTAGGCTTTATTTTTATTTTTACACGGTTTAGAGTGTGAGGGCTTGCATACCTTGTGGTTGTTGTGGGGTCTGGCTTGGTGGTTTGTGGTAGATTTCTATGGTTTATGGTGTGTGTTTGATTTTATGATCTTAGAGTTTATTGAATGTCTTCGTGGTTCGTGCCAAGCGCTGGGCTAGACGGTGGGGATAGGGTGGTGGGGAAAACAGACACAGTCTCTGCCCTCATCGAGCTTACAGTCATTGGTATTCAGACACTTTATATTCTTGTGACTATTAATTGACATCAATGCTGTGAGGAAGTGCAGGGGCTGTCAGAATGCCTCAAGTAAGAGGCATTTGCTTGAGGAACTGAGGCTGGATTGGGATGTGAAGGCTGTGTGTGTATGAGTTTGATTTGCGGTTTTTAGGGGTGAGTGCTCAGAAAGGAAGGGGGCTGTCCGAGTTAAGGCCTCAGAGGAACCACTGGCTGGGAGGGAACTGGAGCTGCTATTTCAGTGACTACCGGTTAAGGGGCTGAGATCTGCTTGTTAATAACCACTGGGCTTCTTAGCAGAAAAAAACGGGGATCTGGCGTTTCATTTGTTTATTTTCTTGGTCACTGTCACCCTTCATCTTTGAGGATCTGGCAGTCCCTCCTCAGTGGTCCTGTAAGGCAAGTCCACCCAAAGCTGAGGGTCATACATTCCCCCTCACTCTGTGCTCTGGTTTCTGGCCTTGAGCCCTTTGGGAGAAATTCCTCTGCTTCTGTGGAATGGTTTTGTCTGGGTTCTCCTTATGGCTGGGAGTCTTTCTGAGGTGACATTGGAAGTGACTTTGCCATGGCCCAGTAAAACTGAAAATGTAACTTATTAAGCCTTGAATTGTTTAAGCACCAAATCCTTTTGTATTTGAAGCAGTGAGAACATTAAGCTTCCTGCTCAGCTGTTAGTTACTGGTTTATAAAATCTATTAAGTTCATTGGAGAGAGAGTATCTCTACAAATATGACACAAAATGGATTTTTATCTTGGATCACTAGGTTTGTAATGCACCTCCTTAGACTGAGGTTGGGATTTTTGTTTGTTTTGGTTTTGTTTATTAGGGCAGACACAATCTCTTTCTTATTGTTGCATTTTTGACACAGAAGCAAGAGTTTAATATATGTGGTTGAGTAAGTAATCAAGGTAAAAAGAAAGTCAAAGAAAAACTTCTGTTTGTTGATAAGTACTTCAGACATTTTCCCAAAGTACTTTGTACTTTAGTACTTAGTACTAAATTGCCTTAGTACTTTTTGTTTGCTGTTGAAGTTGATTTTTACTTTCTATGTTCAAGACTCTGTGTTTCCCACTTTATTTAGAGTTAACATTGTCCAGTGATTTTTCTCATGTCTTAAGTTTTGTGTTTCTGTCTAAGGATTTGAGAAAGCAGTTTGTGTTCTCAAACTTGTGCTGAACAAACTTTAAGGACCCTTACTGAATTGTGAGAAAAACAAAGAGAATTCTCAATTGCTGCTGATTTGCCTGATTGGCTTTCCCCCCTCTTATTTCCTTTCTCCAGGCTTCTCTCACTCCAGAGAGGAAACGTCATCCAGGGCCATGATGCCACTTCTCCATCATCAGTGTGCTGCTTGGTTAAGCTAATGCTGCCGGAACCCTGTTCCTTGTGGAGGAATCACACTGACTTGGCATGAGGCCCCTGCGTTGTGGGGGTTGAGAAGGATACTCCCATGGCTTCTCTGGATGACCCAGGGGAAGTGAGGGAGGGCTTCCTCTGCCCTTTGTGCCTGAAGGACCTGCAGTCTTTTTATCAGCTTCAGTCACATTATGAGGAAGAGCACTCTGGGGAAGACCGTGATGTCAAAGGGCAAATTAAAAGTAAGAGGGGAGGATCTCGCTTATCCTGTTCTATCAGTGGGAGCTTTAACTCACGGGATAATTTTCATCAGCTTTCATGTTGCCACCAGAAATTAATATTAATAGTTATAAATCTAATGCTTACCATGTGCCAGATGTTGTTCAGTCTTCCATGCATTAGCTTCATTGAATCCTCACAATAGCTATGTGTCCATGAGCCCCATTTTACTGATAAGGGTGTCCGACACAGATTAGATAACTTGCTTAAAGTCACAAATTATGCAGTGCTAGGCTTTGAACCTAATAAACACAATTACTGTGCACTGCTGTCTCTTGCTAGACTATTTAAATTATCTGACTGTCAGCCAAAGAGGGTTTTGGAGTGGAATCCCTTTCCTTTGTTATGAAAGTGGACGTATACTAATGACTCATTTCCTTGTCACAAATTTAAGCCTTTCTGCCATCCTTTCCTCAACTAGACCTTATCCTCTGCAGCCCAGGAAAAGGAAGGTCGTAGTTGAAAAGCTAAGAAAAACAACCCCAAAAGTTAAAACTTGGTTTTTGAGCTTCCAAGGACTCAGGTCCTGGAGAGTTGCAGAAAGAATTTTTCAAAGTAATTTTGTGTGCGTAGTGTTCATTTCTTGGACTTCAGATTCTAATCCATAGATATGATGCCACTGCTCTGGAACTCACTTCTTACTGACTCAGCGAACCTGTGTCTTATAGCTCGTAGCATTTCTTGAGGCAATGAGACCGAAGATCTGGGTGCTGTATTCACAGATCTTTGTTGGCTGGGAGGAAGAATGATCATAGATTCCTCAGTGTACTTTGGCTCTCACACATGGGAGTCACATGCGCTCTGTAATCAAGCAGTCACACTATGTTACACTTTTTAATCCGGGGGTGGGGGGTGGGAAAGAGTTGCTGAAAGCATAACACTTACAACTTCTGTCCAAAAACATGACAACTTAAAACATTTTCAAAGTCCTGAGGGCTGTGATGGACCAGGTGGGTTCTGACTATGGAGACTGGTGCAGAGGCATAACTATTAGGAAGCCCCTCATCCCCCCCAAAAAATCTTTTGTGCTTTACAGTTTTCAGAGTTTTTTTACATGTTATTTCATTTGATTCTCCAGCAACCCTGCAGGAAGGTGGTTGATGTCATTTTACAGAGAAAAAGTGAGACTCAGAGATGTTATATAACTTATCCAAGGTCACACAGGAATTGGTAGAACTAGGCTTTGAGCCCAGGTCTTCTGTCACCTCAGAGTGTAGTGCTACTCTTTCCACATGGCACCACTGATGATGTGAGGCCCTGTATTCCAACCATAGCATGCACTGCAGCTGGAAAACAAACAGATTACATAAGTTTCCTCTGGACAGCTGAAGGGCCTGCAAGATTTTCAGTGAGTGTCCATGGTGTCAGCAGAACCAGATCGTAAACTGTGGTATCACTAAGACTTTGATGCCAGTGGGTAGAGAGGTTAGAGAACGTCCTCAAATTCCTTTTATAGTATCCCTTTTATTAGAGGAAAATTGTTTAAGGTTATTTAGGGAGTAATAGATACTAGAATCTGTTTAGGGAATACTAAATAGAGTGGAAATATTGTTCCTTGTGAAAGAAACTTCAGAGTATTCACTTGTTTTTCTCCCTCCATTTCCCTCCCATCTCTACCTCAGAAGAACTAAGAGATTGAGTTAAGCATTCTTTAGTTGGGAAGGGGTTCTTAATTATGTTGTAATTTTCTGTGTTTCAGAATCAGGAAAGCAAAGTTTTAAAGATGGACATCAAAGATTTTTGAGAAATCCTTTGAAAAGCAGATAACTTCTCCATTTGGTCTTTTGATTTTGTAGAAATTTTATGACACTGCTAGTTTAAGCAAGTGAAATATTAAAACCAAAATAGTGAACCTTGGTTTTGGAGGCAGTATAAATAAGAAAATATAAACATCATTACTAAAAAGTAGTGGGTTTGGGCCCCAGCCCTGGTACAGCTTTAGTTTGGGACATCTACAGTAACATAGACAAGGGGGTGGTTGAGAATTAATTTTGGCTTTTGCTTTGTGTTTTTAAAAACATATGGGATTGTTCTTAATTGGCCCCTCTTGAAGGGCTACACCCACCCTGGGAAGGTTGCCAGACCAATTTTCTTGCCTCCTAAAGGTTAAATGGCCAATTTAACCTTTCACCCATTCCCCCAACCCCCTTCCATCTGTTTAACTTGACACAGTTTAGTCTTTTTTTAATCATTTTGCCATCATTATTTGTTTTTTTATTGTATTTTATTGTTTATTCTATTACAGTTGTCCCAATTTTTCCCCCTTTGTCCCCCTCAACCCAGGCCCCCCTGGACTCCCTCAGGCAGTTCCCACACTGTTGTCCATGTCCGTGGGTCCTGCATGTATGTTCTTTGGCTACTCTGTGCTGTACTTTACATCCCATGACTGTTCTGTGACTACCCGTTTGTACTTTTTAACCCTTCACCTCTTTCACCTATTCCCCCAACCCCCCTTCCATCTGGAAACCATCAAAACATTCTCTGTATCTATGATTCTGTTTCTGTTCTGCTTGTTTATTTTGTTTTTTAGGTTCAATTGTTGATAGATATGTATTTATTGCCCTTTTATATTGTTCATACTTTTGATCTTTGTAAAGATGACCCTTTAACATTTCCTATAATAACGATTTGGTGGTGATGAACTCTTTTAGCTTTTTCTTGTCTGAGAAGCTCTTTATCTGTCCTTTCATTCTAAATGATAGCTTAGCTGGGTAGAGTAATCTTGGTTGTAGGTCCTTGCTTTTCAACGCTTTGAATATTTCTTGCCAGTCCCTTCTTGCCTGCAAAGTTTCTTTTGAGAAATACAGCTGACAGTCTTATGGGGGCTTCCTTGTAGGTAACAAACTGCTTTTCTCTTGCTGCTTTTAAGGTTCTGTCTTTGTATTTAACCTTTGGCAGTTTAATTCTTATGTGTCTTTGGTGTGGGCCTCTTGACACAGTCTAGTCTTGTTTGCAAAAATTAATTGGTGTTTGCTAACTCCAATTTCCTGTCTGCTAGACCTTTTGTTACATTAGTTCCTTTCCTCTCCCATGTTGTTAAGAAAGACTACTTTAATATATTTTAGAGGGTGTCCTTTAGTACTGGTGGAGCTTATTTTTCCAGCTGGAGAAAGCCATCCTGGAGTGACTGATAATCGGGGAGTCTGTTTACTAGCTTGAATGTCTAACAGAGACATGTCTATAACCTTATTAATTTCACTCCTTGCCTGCCAAGCCCCTCCATTTGAAAAGCTATGGGTATGGTTTTTTTTTAAGATTGTATTTATTTATTTATTTATTTTAATTAAAATTTTTAAAGATTTTATTTATTTATTTTTAGAGAGGGAAGGGAGGGAGAAGGAGAGAGAGAGGGAAACATCAATGTGCGGTTGCTGGGGGCCATGGCCCAGCAACCCAGGCATGTGCCCTGACTGGGAATAGAACCTGCGACACTTTGGTTCTTAGCCTGTGCTCAATCCACTGAGCTATACCAGCCAGGGCTATTTATTTATTTTTAGAGAGAGGGGGAGGGAATGAGAAACAGAGGGGGAGAAACATCAGTGTGTGGTTATCTTTCATATGCCCCCTACTGATGACCTGGCCTGCAACCCAGGCATGTGCCTTGACTAGGAATCAAACCCATGACCTTTTGGTTCACAGTCCAGCACTCAATCCACTGAGCAGCAAGGGCTATGGGTATGTTTTTAATATTACTCAAGTGACAGAGCACTTCAAAATCATGGGAACTCCATGAAGTATTGATCTATTAAATATAAAAGAAATTATATTAAATCTGATATTTTCTACTGGATTCTAATGGCAAAAAAGGACAGCAGTCACCCAAGATTTAAGAAGATTAATAAGAGCAACTTAGAATTGAGACCAGTTGACTGTTGTTCCATTTTATTAGTAGGTCCTCTCACCTCAGCCCAGGTGGCTGAACCCCTGTTCTGCGGAGGCGCAGTTTTCAAGTCTTTGCTGGCTGGGCAGAACTGGGCTCTGGTTTCAGACATGAGGTTTCCAGTTCTAACCCTGGTGCCTATAAGCTTTGTGATCTTTCCCCCACTTGGGTGTCATGTGCTCATTTGTAAGTAGGGACACGTGCCTTACATGTGAGCACAATCTGGCATAATGTATTTGAAAGTACTTTGTTTTGTGCCTGGTACATACAGGGAACCCAGGACACATTCATTTTCTCTTCTTACCAAGTCTGGCACTCTTTGTGTTATGTTTTTGGTGTTATATTTATATCTTGAAGCTTTTTGTCAATATTCTCACTCATACATTTGGAAGTGAGTAGGGGAAAAAAAAAGTCTGTGTACAATTAAGCCTTATGGAGAACAGCAGCCCTGGGATGATGGTTTGGCTGAATCTCATCCTGGAGGTAAACAGGAAGTATTTACTCATGAGTCCCTAGGGTAAATAAATTGGTGTTGTAGAATTTGATTTTTAAAAACTTTATTTTAATTGATGTATAGTACACACATAAGTTTTTAAGTGTACAATCCAGTGAGTTTTGAAAAATGTATACTCATGTACTACCTTCCCAATTAAGATACAGGAAAAAAACACTTGCATCACCCTGGTCCCCATACTGACTTTGATTTTAACACTTCTGTTTAATGAGGCCTCTTACATTTTGCAATGAGTAGTAATTCAGCTCTATATTGGCTACATAAACCAACTAATTGCTAATACTAACAAGCAAATGGATTGCTCTAGTATTTGTAGTATAGTGGCTGAATACTTATTATTGCATTTATTTGGGATTCAAAAATTTCTTGAGCATTTTTACTCAAAGCGTACTTATTTCTTCAACCCTTGTGATTTGAGATTTCTCTGTATTCTTTATTGGATGTTCTTCATGGAATCACGGTGTTTGCTCCTTTATTCAAGGTCTTGTCCAGAAGGCTAAAAAAGCAAAGAATAGGCTGTTGAAACGAGAAGGAGATGACCGAGCAGAGTCAGGGACCCAAGGATACGAGTCTTTCAGTTATGGAGGGGTTGATCCTTACATGTGGGAACCCCAGGAACTTGGTAAGAAATTCTGTTCATTCATTTAGCAAATGCTTATTGAACATCTCTCTATTCTATGTAATGTCTTAAGAGTTGGCTGAGGAGGCATTAGTAAACCAGAATGGTCTTTGCTTCTTGTGGACCTTATGTCCTGGGGGGTAGAGGGCAGAAAATGGACTAGAATGAGCTGAACAACTGCCTTGTTTTAGGCACTGCATTAAATGCTTTCCTTGTGTGCTCTCATGTAACCCTCACTGCACCCCATAGGGACCTGCCTGGGATCAGACATCTGGGAAACCGCAGAACTAGGGTGGGAATCCAGGTCTGTGGCATCAGCCCAGGCACAGATTCCATTGACTGGGCTGTCTCCTGTCATACAGGACATTACCTCCCTACTAAGAGGCACTGGTTTGTGCAATTAGTTTTATGAAACACATATTTATGGTATCATATACGTTCAAAATAATCTTTTTTTGGAATGATGAAAATATTCTAAAATATACTTGGGTGATGGTTGCATAACTCTGAATATACTATTGGGTTAGCCAAAAAGTCTGTATGGTTTTTTTCCCGTATAATAAAAGACAGATTTTTCATTTTTACTAATAACTTTATTGATTTGGATATTTTGAGTATGTTGGCTATCTCCTGCAGGATAGAATGTTGATTGTTTTCATTTAATATCTCAATTTGATCATAATCAACTTCAGCTGGTCTACCTGACCATGGAGCATTGTCCAGTGAGAAATCTCCAGTATGAATCTTCGCAAACCACTTTTGACGCCTTCAATCAGTCATAGCACCTTTTCTATACTCTACACAAGTCTTTTTTTGTATTTCAGTTGTGTTTTTACTTTTCTTGAAATAACGAAGTGTAATATGCCAAAAATGTTGCATATTTTCTTCCATCTTTAATGTTAAAATGACTGCACAAAAATTCACCAATTTTGATGTTTTTTTTAAGTGCACACTGATACGACAGCTGTCAGAATACAATCTAACAAAATTGTTTCTGGTGAAGTTAAAGACAACTAAGTGCTACTGGAACCATCTTACAGAAAAAACAAAGGAGCTTTTTGGCCAACCCAATAAAAACCATTGAATTGGTACACTTAAAATGGTGAATTGTGTGTATGTGACTAATATCTCAATAATGAAAAGGTCATGTCACATCAGCGTTGCACCACTAATCTTACATGTCTGTTAACTTTTGAATGATAACTATCGTGAATATAATATTTTCTCTATGCAATGGATAAAGATTCCTTCATAGTGCTTTATTATACTTTCATATGCATTATCTTGTTCACCTGTCACAAAAGCCGTGTGAGGTAGAATGCACAGTGACATTCATTTCCATTCATAGATGAGAAATAGGCTCTAAGAAGGGAAGTATTTACCCAGCATCATCTCCCATGTTCTTACAGCACCACTACAGAATGTGTCTTTTTGAATGGGGAAAGTTCTAGAACTGTGCTGTCCAATACGATAACTAGCTATATGTAGCTACTTAAATTTAATTAAAATTACAAGTGATTTCTTCAACCATACACTAGGACATTTCAAGTGCTCAATCTCCATATGTGACTAGTGGCTACCATATTAGAGAGTAGAGACATTTTCATCATGGCAGGAGAAGATGACTTTAAAAAGAATACTATACAAATGTAATTATGAGTCATGCCTGAAAGCCAATTAGAAACATGAAAGAGAAGTTTCAGGCATATGAATCCTTACTAACTTTTTGATAGCTTATTTCATGATTGCCAGTGTTAAATTATCAGGTGATTTTTCTGATTAACTTGCTTGTTTGAACAACTGAAGGAAGTCACACATTGTGGAAAGGTTGAGTGAATGGCAAATTTTAGAAGTTAATAATTTACAGTCACCCCTAAGAACTTGAAAGTAAATTTTAATTAGATGTCAATGGTATGGTTAAAAAAGAAAAGATATGTGGATGCTTTCTTAGTTTTTGAAGTTTTGTAACATTCTAAAATCCTAAAATTTTTACTTTTAAAATTTATTGAGGATAAGTAGCAAAGTAGAGAGGCTGCCTCAGAGAGATGACAAGTCATTTGTCTCCCCACCTCCTCTCCTTGCAGGTGCTGTGAGAAGCCATCTTTCTGACTTCAAGAAACACCGAGCTGCCAGGATTGACCACTATGTTGTGGAAGTCAATAAATTAATAATCAGGTTGGAGAAGGTAACTTTTGTTGTTTGAAGCAGTTTTTTTCTGCAAGTGTGCATTTTCTGGGGCGGGGGGAATGACATTTCTGCATCATTGTGTATTTTATATGTATGATGCTGGCTGTATCTGGTGTTGGCAGAGAAATGCCTCACCTAGCGAGGTACAGAGCATGTGATGGACAGTTTTAGCCTGGCTGCTTTTACTTGAAAGGAATAGTCCAGGTCAACAGACTTGCTGCATAGCTTCCTTTTTCCTTCCTATGAAGCCCACTTGGCTGCAGGAAAACCTTCCTGTCTTCAGTTTTCCTCTTCTGGGTGTCCCAGGCATAACCACACAGTGGGGCACAGTGTGCGATATTCGTTGGCAGAGAAGCTGGTGACTAGGTCTGTGGGGAGAACTCAGCTGGCTCCAGCACGTAGTGTGGGAACATCTTCACTGGGCCATTTTGCCCTGTGGTATGAGAGTCCATGTTCCATGCTGTAATCACTCTGTTTTACTTTGACCCTAGAGATGCTTGTTGTCTATAAGCTGGATTGTGTGGTGGGCATGGTAGCAAGCCCAGGTACAGTTCTTTACGTGTTCTTTGCAGGACAGAAATACGTGGCTAGTTTAATTATCCCTGAGGACTGTGGAGAATTGGGGGTTCTCCACTGCTTTCAGGAGGTACCCCCACCACGTCTTAGCCTAACCTTGGTTATTGCTTAAAGGCTAAGTGATACTAAAGAGATTGGAAGTGGGTCAAGGAAAGGGAGGCACTTTCTGGATTATCCCATGTGAAACTGCTTTTGTGACTTTGTGGGTTAGGGATGACAGATGAGACTTAAGAAATGCAGACATGGTAATTTCCCCTTGATGCCTCTTGCCCGTGGAAAGTGTATTCATCACCTGATTAATTCCATCTGGCACTGTCTTCTTGTCAGCTCACTGCGTTTGACAGAACGAATACCGAGTCAGCTAAGGTCCGAGGTAAGTCTTAAGAACTGTGCTCATATTTATGCTATTTCTTTTCTCCCTGACCAGATCTCTTTTAAATGACTTGCTTTTTTATTTGTTTGGTTTTTGGTTTGTTCTTCTCAAAGCAATAGAAAAGTCTGTGGTGCCTTGGGTCAACGATCAGGATGTCCCTTTTTGTCCAGACTGCGGTAATAAATTCAGCATCCGTAACCGCCGCCACCACTGCCGCCTCTGCGGGTCTATTATGTGCAAGAAGTGCATGGAGCTCATCAGCCTTCCCTTGGCAAGTAGGTGACGTGGCGGTGGGACTGTGGGCCCTAGTCTCCTCCTCAGACTAGCAAACAGCTGATCACCACTGGGTGATTTTTTTGAGCTTTTTTGTTTAAATTAATGGTATTTGGGATCTTCATTCATTCAGTTGTTGATTCTATGAAGCCCAGGACAGGCAAGGCACTGTGCTAGGGGCCAGGGTTACAGTGTTCTGCAACAATGGCTGGCAAACTGTTTTTGTAAAAGACATGATAGTAAATATCTTAGGTTTTGTGGGCTACATATGGTCTCTGTGACAGTTTTTCTTCTTCTTTTTTTTAAAAACAGCCTTTTAAAAATGTAAAAACCATACTGGGCTCAAGGGCCATACAGAAACAGGCTGCACTGGGTTTGCAGGTCATGTTTGCCTGCCTCTGGGGCCTTGCCCATTTCCCCAGGGAATTCAGTGTCTAGCAGGGGATATAGATGCATAAACAAATAATTGCTGTATAAAGATATGAGTATAATGAGAGAAGTTTTATCAGGCACCCAGGAGAGCTGACCAAATCTTTATCCACTCTCCTTAGAAGTGGCAGGTGAGGCTTAGAGAGGAAAGGGTTAGGATCTTGAAGAGTGAGCAGCAAGCTAATTTTTTCCTTTGAGATGAAAGTCATGAACGGTCATTATCATATAGAATAAACTATTATAATGTCATAATACAAGAGATGTTGAGTGTTTTGGAGGCTGGGGGAGAGCAAAAGCATGGATACTCAAGGTCCAGAGGTGATGCTCAAGAAGTGCCTTGAAAGACAACTGGGATTGCAAAGAGATGGGGCAGGAGGGCATGCTGGTGAGAGGAAAGAGTAGGACCAAAGGCGTGGAATTTGAATTTGGAAAGCCGCACGGAAGGTTAGTGGATGAGCAAACAATAGTTGGGGGAGTGCAGAGGGCATGTTTGAGAATTGTGGGAATGAGGTTTCAAAGGTTAGATGGAACCAGGTGTCTGGAACTCTGAGTCTCAGCTGGTTAAAAGTTGTTCGGGATGATCTCATGGGCTTTTGACCAGTTCTGGGACATTGGGGTGTGTGCACTGTCCACTGACTCTGTGTGTGCTATTGGCCATGGAGCGTCTGACTTGGGGCAGAAGCAGACGCTTCCTTTGTCGAACCCTGACATCTACCAGGCACACATTGCCTTGATACTTCCCCTTTCTCCTTGAGGCCAACTCCCAGTCTCACTTGAGACTTTATTAGCTATGTTTTCTTGGACACTATTCACCTCTCTCCTCTTGGGCTAATTAACCAACATTTACGGGGCAGCTGCTATGAAGTGACCCTGTTGTATATATAAGGATACAAGTATGAATAAGATAGTTTCTACCCTCAGAGTCACAGATTCCTAGGGCAGCTTGAGGTGTACCTAGACCTGTCATAAAGGGAGAAAAGGGGACAATTCTCCATGAGGGCAATGTGGTAAGAACTTCTGATAGGAAGGGCAGGTCACTTGTGCCTCCTGGAGTAGGGGAGGGCTTCCTGGAAGACATGCTGGTTGAGCTGAGCTTTGGAAGATGTAGCAGTCAGGTATCCGGGAGTGGGGAAGGCTGTCAGGACAGTCCAGGGAGAAAGTGGGTTGTGTCTGAGCTGTGGCAAAGGGAGGGGCAGTAGGTGGTAAGGCTAGGTTAGGGATGGGTCTCAGAACTTCAAAGACAGACTGTCTTAGGCTGGCTGGCAGTGGGAGGCCCTCCCACCCCTGAACCTGACTCCAAGAAGGCAGAGATGTGGGTGCTTCTTGCTCGTAAGCAGAGGCTAGTCTTACCTCTTCAGCACCCGTGGACTCCCCTCCTGTCATGGGCGGTGCAGTGATGGGAGGCTGCGGGCTCACTGTTGCCTGTCCTGTGTTGTGTTTTACAGATAAGCTCACCAGTGCCAGCAAGGATTCCCTGAGCTCCCATACCAGCCCCAGCCAGTCACCCAACAGTGTGCATGGCTCCCGCCGCGGCAGCATCAGCAGTGTGAGCAGTGTGAGCTCTGTCCTGGATGAGAAGGATGATGACCGGATCCGCTGCTGTACACATTGCAAGGACACGCTGCTCAAGAGAGAGCAGCAGATTGACGAGAAGGAGCACACCCCCGACATTGTGAAGCTCTATGAGGTGACTTACTGTGTGCGGTCCTGGGTCTGATTCGAGAGGCACACTTGGCTGTTCATTATGTAAATGCCTGCAGATTTTGGAGATGATTTGGGAAGTTGTTCCTTTGAATTATTTTTAGTTTCTGCTGAAGGGCCATGCATGGTATGATTTCCCAGCTAGAGCCCTGGTTGAGTCACACAGTCATCCTGGGTGTGGTGCTACAAACTCATTCCCTTGCTTTCTTGCAAAAGTTTTCTTTGAAATTGGAGGTTGGAGGCTTTGGTGGCCCAGGGGCAAGAGGAGAAAGTGTGGACAGGTTCAGTGGGTGTGGGCAGAAGCTGGAGCTGGTGGTGAACAGTGGGCTGGGAGAGTCCTGTGACACTCCCTTGGCAGCTTCAGGCTTTACAAGTTTGAGTAACTGCCCATAGGCTTAGAGCTTCCCCTTTTAAGTCCATTCACATCCCTCAGCTCTCATTACCACCAGTGACCCCAGAACACCTTTAGTAAAAGCTGCTTTGAAAGGAACGTAGTATAGTGCAAAAACATGGGATTTAGGGTCAGAGAGGTTGGGCCTCCTAATGGCCCTGTGAGACCTGCAAGCTCAGGGAGTGGAGGCCACGGGGAAGAGGAGCTGATCCCTGACAGAGGAAGCAACTCATGCAAAACTCTGAGCAGAGGAAGAGTGTATGTTTGGCTGATGATCACTGAATGGTCCCTGTTAGCAGTTCTACAGGTCTTAAGGGCTGTGTTTCTGGAATCACCACAAAAATACTCAGGCTACTAGAAATGGTATTAATTAAACTCTGTGGTGAGTTGCAGATACAGCCAATATCCATCCTTTATTTGAAGTTCATGACTTAATAACTCGTTTTGTAAATCGCCACTGTGCTTTTTGCTTCTGTCTTTTTTGAAGCAAGTCCTGGTGATGCCTTGTGCTGGTGTCTTGCACCATCTGTTAGAGAAAGAATGTAGCAACTAAGTTCTTTTCTCTGCCTTGGTAAACTCTGACTTGTGTCCTGGAAAACCTTGCTCCTCCCTCCTTCATGCGGTGTTCTCTGCTTGTAAAGTAGGTCTGTAAATCAGGAATTTGATAACAATAGTAAAAAGTAACAAAACAAAAAACCAGTACCTGCATTTTTACATTTTAGAAAATTGCCTGTGTTAAATATATCCCTGGTTGATGCAGCATAACTCCTGGGCAGGCTTTTCCTGTACCCTGAGAAGGCCACTTACCTCTTCTTCTTTGTTCTTAGAAATTACGACTTTGCATGGAGAAAGTTGACCAAAAAGCTCCTGAATACATCAGGATGGCAGCATCATTGAAGTAAGCTATTCCTCTCTGGTTTTTTAATTCAGTGGTGACACTTTTCTGGCATTTTAGGTCAAGTCTTCAGGAGCTTAAAATGAAAATAACTCTGACTGTGCTCTTCTTCTGTGACTGGCTGCAGAGAAGCTCTGTCAGGTCTCTCTCCGTGTCGCACTGTTACAGCCCTCTGTAGCCAGGTTGAGGTGACCCCAGCTCTTCCGATGGAGCAGGTTTGGGAAGGGCCTCAGGCAATCAGCACCACTGCCAAGTGCAGCATCAGGAGGTGAGCAAAGGCAGTGTGCCTTCTGCTCATGCCTGAGTAGATGCCACATCAGGGTGACATTGAGGTGTCGGGGTTTAGAGCAGGGGTTGGTAAATGGCAGCCCATGGGCCAAATCTAGCCGGCCATCTGTTTCTTTTTTTTTAATGAAGATATAATTCACACACCATAAAATCTACCCCTTTAAAATGTGCAGTTCATTGGTTTTTAGTATATTCACAAATTTGTGCAATCATCACCACTGTACTAACTTCAAAACATTTCATCATCCTAATAAGAAACCCCTAATAAGACTCATTAGCTGTCATAGCTCATTCCCCTCTCCTTTTACGGAAAAAATTTCCTGACTTTTTCTTAAGAGCATTGTTCCTTCTGATGGTTAATGATGTGTGAGCTGGAATTTGAGGTACTACTACTAAAATCAGATCCCAGCAGTCTTTTCCCAACCTGCAGAAAATATATTATGGCATCAAATTAAGTGTTCTCAATTTGAGGATTGTCTGCTTTATTTTAGGTCTGAGTCGCATACCTGTCACTTTCGTAGTGATGCATGTGCCTTGTTTAGAACAAACCTATATTTTTATTTGGACATTTACGGTGGCAGTATTGTATAGCAGTTTCAAAAAACAAAGGGTGTAAGCTTGGCTTTTCCTTCACGATGTCCTCGACCATGTTCTAAGCCCACCGTGGGTCTTATATAGACACACATAAAGAATTAATTTTTGTTTGTATAGTCCTTAAGGAGTTTCCTGACTCTTGAGTCTATAAATTTCTGACTTACAAAACATGAAAAACTAAACCCAGCTGTTTCGTGGCAAAAACACCCCTTCTGTTATACCTCTTCCTGCCCCTACTATTGCTTTGAGGATCATCTTCTTTCAATCCTCTCCCGATGCTTCCCAGCCTGCAGGAAGAGAAAAAGAGGTGAGAAGAGAATAGCAAAGAGATAGGGAAACTAGTGTAGACCCTGTTGCTTTTTCCCTCTGTCCTAACAATTACAGATCTGCAGCCCCTGGCACAGACAGTGGAAGGGGAACAAACCCTATTTCTTGTGCCCTCTAAGCCACAATTGTCCCAGGGCCCTCCCTCCTTATATTTGTTCCTTCCAGAGCCCTGTCTTCCTCCTTCCGTTCCTTAGCCTAGAGCACTGGTTTTCAATAACAGTGGGGAAGGGACCCATTTTCTTTTCTGCCTTTAGTTCACTGAGCACGAATTTCAGTCTGCCCTCTATGCGTAGGTTGGAAGAAGAACCCTGGGTGATCCTGATATATACCTCTCCGAAATGGAGAGTCCTTGGCTTGGAGAATCTGTTTCATGCTCATTTTCTCCCTGGAGCTTTCTGGAATCTTCACCCCTCCTCCTATCCCTGCCCATTGGTTTGACATTAGAGCAGGCCTGTCTTCTACGCGGACACCAGCAAGGAGAGCTGTGTTCCTGGCAGTCTGAGTGTTTTCTTCATGAATTTGTTACTGAGGGACTCCTCTTCCTGAGTGCTATTGTTTTTGTTTGTTTTGTTTTGTGTTTTGTTTTGTGCCTCAGACTTAATTGTGGGTTAATGGGCCTCCCTAGCCGGTTGGGGAACTGCCATTGCTAAGCACATTTCCAGATGTCTAAATCCTACTCCTTCCGCTTAGAAAGGCTGGCCCTAAAGGGCTTTAAGTGCGTTTCATTCTCTTACTCTTTCATTCAATGGATAGTTGCTGAGCACTAGTTACATTCTAAGCTCTAATCTAGTTGCTGGGGCTGTAGCAATGAACGGTGATGACAGTGCCTGCTCTTGTGGAGCTGCATTTTTGTGGGAGCACAGGCCATATCCAAGTGAACACATAATGAGCAAGGGAACTCCAGATGTGATAGTTGCTCTGAGGGAAATGCTGTTGGTTGACATGGTTGTGACCACGGGGAGTAACTTCAGATTTTATGACTTGGAGATATTGAAATAAAGCACAAGTCTTCTCATTTCTGGTCCAGTGTTCTTTTTGCAAACTATGCAGTGAAAGATCATGAAACAACCTTACTAAATCTTCATATTACAGCATACACCAATATTTTTCCAGCTAGAACTGTTTTTTTTTTTCACTTTTACTTTTTAAAAAAAATATTTTATTTACTTATTTTTAGAGAGAGAGAAAGGGAGGGAGAGAGGGAGAGAAACATTGATCTGAGAAGAAACACACTCCCACTGAGGACCGCACGTGCCCCAGCCAGGGACCAAACCCGCAACCCAGAGCATGTGCCCTGGCCGGGAATCAAATCAGCGACCTTTCACTTTGCGATATGACGCCCAACCAACCGAGCCACACCGGTCAGGGCAGGACTGTTTTATAGCTGATAAAATAGGTAAACAGAGCAGTCCTTTCTTCTTAATTAATTTAAGTTGCTGCTGCCTCAGAAGGGGCGCTGAGTGGCCATTACTGAGGCTGGATTAATAGAAGCAAGATCTTCTGAAATGTTTCTCTTCTCAGTAAATGCTGATTAAGCTTGGCCCTTGTGCTAATCACTGAGGACATAATGGAAAGCCACAATCACTGTACTTGGAACTCAAAAATCTGGTAGGGTGACAGATTTGTAAATGAGCAATTATTATTTTTTTTAAGATTTATTTATTTATTTTTAGAAAGTGGGGAAGGGAGGGAAAAAGAGAGGAAGGAAACATCAGTGTGAGAGATACTGTAGAGATCAGTAATCTCTTGCATGCCCCTTACTGGGGACCTGGCCTGCAACCAAGGCATGTGCTCTGACTGGGAATTGAACCACTGACCTTTCGGTTTGCAGGCTGGCACTCAATCCACTGAGCCACACCAGCCAGGGCCAATCATTTTATTAATTTATTTTTAGAGAGGGAAAATGAGAGAGAAAGAAAGTAGAGAAACATTGATGTGAGAGAGAAACATTAGTCAGTTGCCTCTAAGTGCCCCGACCAGGGACAAAACCTGAAACCCAGGCATGTGCCCTGACTGGGAATCGAACCAGCGACCTTTTACTTTGCAGAATGCCACCCAACCAACTGAGCTACACCAGTCAGGGGCTGTCTTTCAGTCATTTTAAATGATGTTGGAAAAATTGCTCAGTGAGTATATCAGCCATAAAAACAATTGGTAATGTGAAAATTAAACTCAGTTTATGAAAAGATTCAGCAGTCAATAAGCTAATTTAGCTTTTCAAAGGTATGTTGTATCTAAACCATATGAAAACCCAATTATTTATTAATGCAATTAAATCTTGAATAATTCATAATAATTTTTCCACATAGAAATAAAATGATTACTGGCTATATATTTTCTGAAAATAAAAAATTTAAAAGCCTAAAGTAAAAACTCACCATGATTTCTCCTTAGTGCTGGAGAGACAACCTACAGTCTGGAACATGCCAATGACCTTCGAGTAGAAGTGCAGAAAGTATATGAGCTAATAGATGCTTTAAGGTAAGATCTGATTGGTGATGTCTTACCTGCTGTGTTCAGTGGAGGAGGTGATGTTTTAATGAGGTATTTGGTGGCCTGCAGACCTGAGCTTACCTAGAATCCTGGTGACAGCAGTTTGTGTGAGGAGGAGCCTGAGGAAGGTGTCAGCTCTGACACTCAACCCATCTCAGTAACTTTTGGTTAGGGATTCCAGTGTTCATTATTACCAAAGGAATAGGAGTTTGTTGAACGCTGGCTGTGTGCCAGGAAATATCACTGGATGTTTCCGTGTAATGTAGCTCACTTGTTCTACCCAAGTTACCCTGTGGAATAGGGATTAATGTCCCCACTGAGGCACCACAGATGGCAAAAATGGTAGAACCAGCACGGAAACCCAGATTCTTCAAGTCAACAGCTGCTTTTTAACTGTGGGCTGGTCGTTGGGGTTAAGTCAGCCCTTTGCTGTGTAGGAGATACCATGACTCAGGGGAAGAACTGAGGTGAGGAATCCTTGTCCATCCATACACGCGGGACTGCTCCGTACTTTGCGGGGCCTAGTACAAAATGCAAATGCAAGTTCCTTGTTCATAATTATTAATAATTTTAAGACAGTGACAGCAGAATATTAAACCAAACACAGGGCTCTTCTAAGCACCAGACGCTGTGCGGCTGCATATGCCACTCAACCATGAAGTGGCCCCTGTGCGTGTGGTCAGTCCCTTGATGGCCAAATGTTTGTTATGCATCCTGGGCTATGTTAGAGGCCTTGGGTACAGCAAAAGGGTAAGAAACCAGCTGTGCCTTCAAGGACACTTCCATGGAGCCTCTAACCTGTATCCTCCACAGACCTTCCCAGCATGCAAGCCTGACAACTCAGAGACTTTCCACCCTTGTTTCTGAGGCTGGCAGCGCTTGTTACATTGATGTGTTTGTTCCAATTCAGTAAGAAGATCTTAACCTTAGGCTTGAACCAGGACCCTCCACCACATCCAAACACTTTGCGGCTGCAGAAGATGATCAGATATTCGGCTACACTTTTTGTGCAGGTAAAGCCAATCCTGGCGTAGAAGAAATATTGCACTTGCCTCCCTTGCTCTTCTGCCACTCAGGAAGCAGATGAAGCCAATGTCTTATTTTCTAGTTCCATATTTATTCTTTTTTAAGATTATAAATGCATTATGCCGTACTTAGAGAAAAATCTGGATTTCAAAGAAAAATAAAAACTACTTTTAATCTCATGTCCCTACAGATCCCTTGTCCCTACAATGCCATTACATATTATTTTGGTATATTTTCTTCTTTTTTTCCATTTGCATTTGTTATATAAATTGTATGTATATTTGCAAATTTATGCCTTCTCTTTTTATCAATGGACTTTATATCACAGCACTTTTTTGCATAGCCCTCCAACAGCTCTCCACTGAACACTGCTGCAGAGTGCAGCTTTGACGTGTTCGACATCCTTCATGTAACCACTCCCCTTTCATTGGGCATTTGATAGATTCCCACTTTTTGTCGTTATGAACATTGCCTGATGGACATAGATGTACATAGCATTTCTTCCTCGGAATAGACACCTAAGGGACTCTTTCTGGGCCATTGGTCAGGAGGAAACAGCTGATCGTTCAAGAGCAGATTAAAGCTAGGTGGTTATGGTGGAGTTGTTTCTACCTCAGAAGCCCCTCAGAGAGTCACATTTAACTACCCTTGCGTCTCCGTGACAGAGGCATCTGATAGAGTCCTGCCAGGTCAGTTTTCCAACATTGCGTTGCGAAGAATTAGGCCCTTTCTCCTTAGTATTCGTGCCTGTGTTCCATGGTCATTTGGTGAGTCCCTGCTGGGTACCAAGCAGTCTTCTGGTGCTGGGCATCCTGCCATCAAGAAAAAGACAACATTCCTGTTCTCATAAAGCTTATATTTTAGAAAGGGGGATAGACAAAAAACAACTAAAATATGTAGCTTATGTTGAAAAGTGCTTCAGACAAATACATGGAAATACATGGAAAGGGTGGTAGGAAGCTTGGGTGGAGACTTAAAAATTTAGACAGGAGGGCAGGGAAGAGGCCTCGATGAAGAAGCGAGTAACTGGGAGATCTGCTATTGATCATTTCATAAGGAAAAGGCAGGCCCATTTGAAAGTTGTCTCTCCGGCCCAATTTTGGGATTGTATCTCTTCCTATTCCTGCCAATTAATGTGACTGTCTCAGGGTAGAGTGGCTTAGCTTAAATGGACTCTTACTACAGGGCTTAAGGTTCATTTTTTTCTCTAAAAAGGTTTAAGTGTAAAATTGTCTGTGATTCCCTATAGGAAAAGTTGCTTGGTTTGATGTCACTGCCAACCAAAGAACAGTTTGAGGAACTAAAAAAGAAAAGGAAGGAAGAGATGGAAAGGAAGAAGATCCTGGAGAGACAGGTGAGTGAAGCTCAGGAATGCTGGTATCTGGCTTCCTCTTTGAGGCTCTTTTTAAAAAAAAATGTATTTTATTGATTATGCTATTACAGTTGTCCCATTTCCCCACCCCCCTTTATTCCCCTCTGCCTTGCACCCCCGTTCTACCCGCATTCTCCACCCCACCTTAGTTCATGTCCATGGATCATACATGTAAGTTCTTTGGCTTCTCCATTTCCTATACTATTCTTAACCTCCCCCTGTCTATTTTGTACCTACCATTCACGCTTTTTATTCCCTCTACCTTCTCCCCAATTCTCCTCCATACCTCCATACCCCCTCCCCACTGATAACTCTCCATGTGATTATGGTTAACCCTCCATTTCTGTGATTCTGTTCCTGTTCTAGTTGTTTGCTTAGTTTTTTTTTTTTGTTCTTGTTTTTAGGTTCAGTTGTTGATAGTTGTGAGTTTGTTGTCATTTTTCTGTTCATAGTTTTGATTTCCTTTTTTTTTCTTAGATAAGTCCCTTTAACATTTCATATAATAAGGGCTTGGTGATGATGAACTCCTTTAACTTGACCTTATCTGGGAAACACTTTATCTGCCCTTCCATTCTAAATGATAGCTTTGCTGGATAGAGTAATCTTGGATGTAGGTCCTTGCCTTTCATGAGTTTGGATACTTCTTTCCAGCCCCTTCTTGCCTGTAAGGTTTCTTTTGAGAAATCAGCTGATAGTCTTATGGGAACTTCTTTGCAGGTAACTGTCTCCTTTTCTCTTGCTGCTTTTAAGATTCTCTCCTTATCTTTCATCTTGGGTAATGTGATTATGGTGTGCCTTGGTGTGTACTTCCTTGGGTCCAACTTCTTTGGGACTCTCTGAGCTTCCTGGACTTCCTGGAAGCCTATTTCCTTTGCCAGATTGGGGAAACTCTCCTTCATTATTTTTTCAAATAAATTTTCAATTTCTTGCTCTTCCTCTTTTCTTTCAGGCACCCCTATGATTTGGATGTTGGAATGTTAAAGTTATCCTGGAGGTTCCTAAGCCCCTCATTTTTTTGAATTCTTATTTCTCCATTCTGTTCTGGTTGAATGTTTATTTCTTGTTTCTGCTCCAAACTGTTGATTTGAGTTCTGGTTTCCTTCCCGTCACTGTTGGTTCCTTGTATATTTTTCTTTATTTCACTTTGCACAGCCTTCACATTTTCCTCCATTTTGCGGCCATACTCAACCATTTCGGTGAGCATCCTGAATATCAGTGTTTTGAACTCTGCATCTGATAGGTTGTCTACCTCTTCATCACTTAGTTCTATTTTAGGAGCTTTGATCTATTCTTTCATTAGGACCATATTTCTTTGTCTTGGCACACCTGTTACATGTGGAGCCTTAGGTATTCGCCAGGGGCGTGGGGCAACCCACATGGCTGTGTTGTGGTGCTATATGTGGGGGCAGAGTCTGAGAGGGAACAGTGGTACCTGCTCCTCTCTCTGACAGTTTTCAGTCACTTCCCCCACTATCTACAAAGAAATTGGGCCCTTCTGGTGCTGATTCCAAGGTGGGTGGGCTTGTGTACATTCTAGGACCCTGTGGGTCTCTCCAGCGAACTCTCCTGTGAGGCTGGGAGTTTCTCCTACCACCACAACTCCCACAGAATATCACAGCCAGAGGTTTTGGGGCTTTATTTCCCCATGCTGGAACCCTGTGTTGCACAGTCAGTCTTGCTCCCTAGTTATTCCTCCCAGTTTATCTGCACGCAGACGTGGGACTGCCTGGTCTGCCAGCCACTGCCTTACCTTGTGTTGTCTCTATCCTCTATTTCTGCCTTTCCTACCGGTCTGGATGAATGTTTCTTCTTTAACTCTTTGGTTGTTAGACTTCCATACAGTTCGATTTTCTGGCAGTTCTGGATATGTTTTGTTTTTAAATTTGTTGTTGTCATTTTGGTTGTGTGAGGAGGCAAAGTGTATCTATCTAAGCCTCAATCATATCTGAAAGTCCTCTCTTTGAGGGTCTTTTGAACACAGAGGCCTCCACAGACTCCCAAGAGGGCATGTGAGATTGTAGCAAATCAGAATCTCTCACTCTCTCTAGTTTCCAGTTTTCTTTTGTTCTGGCCTCACTCACATCTGTAGAAATCACAATTGTTTATTTTTTTCTGCAAGTCCTATTTTTCTTTCAGAGGTTTTGTTGGTTTTCTCCTGTCCAGAATACCATCAAGACTGGCTGTCTTCCCTCTACTATAGGTTGCAGAAAACCCAGACACCAGGGAGTTCTTTGCAGAACACTTTGGAATATGCAATATTAGATAGAAAATACTACATGTATTGTTTTGTGTAACATTCTAGTGTAGATGAGTGCTTTAAGAAGTATATAGCCAGTCCTGGCTGGTGTGCCTCAGTGGATTGAGTGCTGGCCTGCAAACCAAAGGGTCACGGGTTCCATTCCCAGTCAGGGCACATGCCTGGGTTTAGGCCAGGTCCCCAGAAGAGGGTGCGTGAGAGGCAACCACACATTGATGCTTCTCTCCCTCTCTTTCTCCTTCCCTTCCCTGCTCTATAAATCAATAAATAAAGTATTAAAAGAAAAAAAAAGAAGTATATAGTCAGTGACTCTAAGATTGAGAAAATTTTACCCCTTAACTTGCTGTTATGAAACAAAAGCATGGTTTGATTTTGGCAGTTGGCTGTCTCAGGCCCGAGGTGGGCAACTGGAGTCTCACGGGCACAGTGATAGCGAGGGTGCAGAGGGTGGCTGATGGGGTGGCTGCTGTTGCCCTGGTGGCTATGTTTCTTCCCTCTGGCTTTGCTGTCTCCCCAGGCTTCCCTGGAATCCCAGCGGAGGCTCGAGGAAAGGCGGAGTGACCTGTCATCTCGTGCCAATGGGGAAGTAGCATCCTTGCGAGGGCGCCATGCCCCTTTGAGAAAGGCTGAGGGCTGGCTCCCCCTGTCAGGAGGCCAGGGGCAGAGTGAAGACTTGGACCCCCTGCTCCAGCAGATCCACAACATCACCTCGTTTATCAGGCAGGCCAAGGCCGCAGGCCGGACAGATGAAATGCGCACCCTGCAGGAGAACCTGCGGCAGTTGCAGGATGAGTATGACCAGCAGCAGACAGAGAAGGCCATCGAGCTGTCCCGCAAGCAGGCCGAGGAGGAGGACCTGCAGCGGGAACAGCTGCAGATGCTGCGTGAACGGGAATTGGAACGAGAAAGGGAGCAGTTCCAGGCAGCGTCCCTGCACACACGGACCCGGTCCCTGGATTTCCGAGAAATCAGGCCTTTTCAGCTGGAGCCCAGCAGAGAGCCTCGTACCCACCTTGCTCACGCTCTGGATCTGGGCTCCTCCACAGTTGAGAGCAGTGCGGCTCTTAACACGCCTTCACCCAGCTCAGCTCTCGAGCCTATCCGAGTGTGGTCTGGGTCCCCAGCCGCTGGCCAGGAGTTCTTCCTCCAGAGCACCTTGTTACAGCAACACGAGGTGCCCTCCCTAAATCCCTTTGATGAGGAAGACTCCTCCAGCCCCACTGCAGAGGGCTCTACCAGCCCTCCTGCTGCAGAGCCTTCCTTCGGCCCTTCATCCTGCATCTTCAAAGAGTATAATCCTTTTGAGGAAGAGGAGGAAGAGGCAGCAGTGGCAGGGAATCCCTTCACTAACTCAGACAGCCCAGCACCCAACCCCTTTGATGAGGAAGATGAGTGTCCTCACCAGAGGCTCTCAAGCCCTCCTGTTCCTGGCAACCCCTTCGAGGAAGCCACCTGTACCAACCCCTTCGAGATGGACAGTGACAGTGGGCTGGAGGGCGAGGAGCCCATCGAGGAGGAGCTCCTGCTGCAACAGATCGATAACATCAAGGCGTACATCTTTGACGCCAAGCAGTGCGGTCGCCTGGATGAGGTGGAGGTGCTGACGGAGAACCTGAGGGAGCTGAAGCGCACCCTGGCCAAACAGAAGGGGGGCACTGACTGACCATGGGGTGGGCAGGGCACCTTTGGGTCCAGGGACCTGGCAGGAGCTAGTGGGGCAGGCGAGGGTTGGTGGGATCGATGGGAAGGAGGAAGGGTGAGAATTAAGATGCACACAGGTTAGGGGAGGAAATCTGCTATTCCGTGCTGTGCACTTGGAGGTTTTTCCACTACAACTGAATAATAAAATGGGAATGAGAACAGGAAGAATCAGCATGCATTTGCTGTTTTTCCTGGGCTTTTTTAAAATTGGGTTTTCCCTTTAGAAGGGACTTCAAATTTTCACTGCTGAGATATAACTAAATGCATTTCTGTTGGGTCCCACCCAGAAACTCGTGGGTCCATGTGTTCCTGCCTGGTCTTTGGCCATTATGCAGTATTACAGGGCAGCCTTATGTAGGGCCCTCCCTTTAGCCAAGACTGACTGACAAGGTGGGTTCCTTGAAACCTTACTCTCCTCTAGCAGAAGTCTGACCCTGTTAGGCTGTGGGTGCCTTTCACTGGGGCTTCCTCTGCCCTGCTGGGCACATCCTGCTTGTGCAGTGGAAGGGGAGGTATTTCTAGGAAGACACTGGTTTAGACCCAGGAGAGCCCAGAGGGGTGTGAGGTTTCACCAGGGTCTGTTTCTCTCTCAGTTTAAGTTCCTTCTCGTAGGATGTGAACCTCTCGGTGCTGGGGTATCACTGCAGTCTGATCATGGGCTTTTTAGAAAGTGGAAGTGGTAACTGTTTGGTCAATCAAGGTAGTAGTATTTGGGAGAAGAGTCTCCACCCAAATGTTGCTGTGTTCTCTCTGACTACTAGAACAGTTGTCTGACCCAGGAGAAACCTAGAGCTTTGACAGTTACTTGTACCTGGGATTTTTCAGAGGACCCAGTCTATAATTTAGGAATTGGTGGTCAGGAAGCTGTTGTGGAACATTGTCAGGAGAACAGAAGCTTTCCTAAGTCACAAGATAACTCAAAATAATTTCCAAGGCTGTTGATCAGCCTTCTTCCCCTTTGGTTCATCCGTCCTAGTGTTTAGCATTAAGAAACTGAGATGTTTGAAGAAGCACAACCCAGGACCATTCTGGTAGCATGGCAGTACTTGAACTCTTCACCAACTGAGGGCAAAAAGGGAAATTGTTAATTCAGCTCTGGTGCTTTGGTTTCCAGGAACATAACCCTTAACTGACACCTGGCATCATTATACCCACGTGTGCTCAGCTCTTGGTAGAGTTCCTGCCATTACCATTGTTAATTAATGAACAATAACTGACCACAAGTCACTTTATATCCCTTAACTAACTCTGGGTCATACTCTCACTGGTCACTGGTGTGAGGGCTAAAATTCATTTTGTTACATTCTGGGAAGACTCCTGTTGATCTTGGAAATGTTTGAAAAACATTGTGGTGTAAAAATAGTCTGTATTTGTGTTGACACTATTTACATTTTTTTTAGCACCTGCTGGATCTTTGGGTTGAAAGAAGAGGTCGTGAATAGGGGTGTGGAAATGGGGAGTCAGTGGAAAGTGTGTAGAAGACCCTTGAGTTGGGGTTCTGTTCACGAAGGGACGTGAGTGGGTTACTGATGTCAGCCGGCGCCAACCTCACTGACTTCTGTGGCAGTTTTGGGAAGCTGGCATTCAGGCACATAAATGCTGTCCGGTACAGGCGTCTTGTCTTCCTGGAGGTCCATGGCCTTCTTGCTGTAATTCTGGAAGCTTCATGGATGGCTGCATCCTCCTTCCTGCTCTGTCTGGCGTTTCCCTCAGATTAAAGAGGAAGAAGCTGACTCCACCGGGAAGCAGGTAGTTCCTAAATGCTGCTAAAGCTGCTTTTCATCATAACTACTATTCTTATGAGAATATATCTTTTAATTAGGTGGTTTCAATTAAGACTAGTTTATTAAGCATACTCTTTCCTGGAAATCAACCATAGGTAGGCAATTTGAGTAATTAAGAGCATTGAGAAACACACATAAGAAACATTTTTAAAACTTAAACAAATTTCACTGACTATCCTAAACCAAACTAAAACCCTCTGATGTGATTGAATTCTTCCGTGGCCATACTCTTCCATGAATTCTTTCATTTAATTCTTCCATGGCTATATTCTCCTATAAGCATAGACCTACCGAGTAGTTAGAATTCTCTACCCCTCAGCAGTACCGGTTCCCAGAATTCACACAGGCACGAAGTTGGATTTACAGAGATGGGTTAACATCAGGGGAAAGATAGCCTGTGACGTGCCACCACAGATTCGAGTTCTTGCCTCACGTGAATATTTCACCTTTCTTGTAGTCCTTCAAAGCAGATTGTACCCTCATCAAAAAACGAGGAAGTTCTTGATACAGTGTTGGCAGATCTCCCTAGAAATAGATCATATATGGAAGAGACTTTGGCTTTTCCCTTTTATGCCTTGTTTGCCCTGACTAATACACTAAGGACACAATGTATTTGCAGCTCAATGTGTTTTTGCTGTTCAGATAGTAAAATGTACCTGAGCCGTCATGAGCTGTGTGGTAGGTTGGACGTTTGCATAGTTAGCTTACGGGACTCAAAAGTGAGAAAGAGGTCTCTAGCAGGTTCCAGTCTGGTATCATTATGCTGGTCATCTGACAATGGAGAGTCTGAGGGTCATTGATTTGCATGCACTACTTTGGGGCTTTGTAATGGAACCTTTTTAAAAAAATAAAATAACAGATACTAGTGGTTGGGGGTGTGTATGTTTGTATGTGCATTGCATGAGAGTCATCAGATAACATGCCTTAACTGATTTCTTAATGACCTTCCCAGTGTTAGAAGAAAGCCTTAGTTCCCGTTTTCCCTGTCTGTCGAAGGCCTCCAGACAGAGTCAAGGTCACGGGGCTCTTACTGGGATAAATGTGAGTTCTAGTTTGTCCCTTATCCCCCCTTACCCCTGCAGTGTTGATTAAATGAACCATTTTACACAAGCACAATGTAAAACCATTTGCAATCCTGTTATCCCCGTTTCACGCTGGAACAAACAAATAAGGCTGAGGAAACTTTGGCTGCCACTTGTGTCAGGCACTGCTGCATACTGACACATTCTCCTCTTAGCTCCACCTGCAGGCCTGCGAGGTACTGAATACTTGGGTATTCAGTCAATGAGGTGGAAAGAGGTTAGCCTGGCTGGGGCCACACTGCCCGTTGATGGTGGAATAAGGATTTAAAGCCTGGTCTGCCTGGCCCACTTTGCCCTAAGTAGTAGGAAAGGTTTGATCTGGGTCAGGCACAGTGGGAGTGCTCCAGCATTGTGTCTGGCCCAAAGGTGGCAGGAATGGGCAGGTTAGGAGCTGCTGAGTGGGTTTCTGATAAATCACGTGAGCCCCTGGGACGGATTTTTCCAGGACCTGCCTAGATTACTAAACGAGGAGGAGGTAATATTTAGTGCTTACTGTGGGCCAGACAGAATGCCAAGTACTATGCATGGATTACCTCATTTAATCTTACCAACAACCTCAGTTTACAGATGAAAAATAAGTGTGGTAAAATTAAGCAAGCTCAGGGTTACACCACTTGGATTCCAGCGCAGGCAGGTGTTGACTCCAAAACCCAACTGCCCTGGACTGCTTTATATATGGACACTTATGTTTCTAACATGGGATGGGGTATTTCATGCATAGGAAGTGCTTTGTGTGGACTGGAATATCAAAAGCTCTTCTGTCTGAAACTCTTCAGTAGCCTAGCACAGTTTACAGAATACCTCAGAGCGCACTTCTGGTTTCAGCTCGGGCATACAGAGTTTGGAAGCTGTTACTCCTATCCTTCCAAGAAAACGTTGGACAAACTGAAAATCAATGACTTTTCTTGGACTCATCAGAGAACTGAGTGTACAGGGCAAACTGCCAACCCAGAATCTGGACAGGGGTGAATTCAGAGAGTCAGCTGAGGCCAGTTTACTCGGAGCAGGAGACATTGGAACCATAGGTGTTAGGAACGTTTTGACGAATTGCTGGAGGCTGAGTGTGGACTAGTGTGAGAGCGAGAAACTCCTGGGGGCCCCAGCTTAAGGGAGATCCACGCTTTCATGGGTTTTACCTCCAGGAACCCCTCCAGGTTTTCACAGCTAAGAGCTGAGAAAGAGCCTCTGATGGCACTGGCAGGAGAAGGGGAACAGTAACCTTTGTAAAATAAACATTCCAGGGGAAAGGCCTTACCAGAGTCTGCTCCCACCTGGTGAAGGGGCATTTCACCCCCTCCCCCGTAGTCTTCCTGTCTTATCTCTGAGGGAAAGGTAAAAGAAAATTCTTGTTTTTTCTATAAACTCCACTACTCACACACTTCTGACACTAAATGTATGTATGGGCTTTTTCCTACACTGACAAATACCTTGACACCAGTTGTGTGCCCTATAGTTTAATGCAGTTTTGACCCTATCTACCTGGAGTTATTGTCAGATCTCTCACCTTAAGGGCTCAGGCTGCCCTTACATCCCATTTGCAAGTGCTGGCCTTTGGTACTTCTGACCCACTGGCTGTTAACTGGGGTTCCCACAACACGCCCACTGGGTTTGGTAATTTGCTATAATGGCTCACAGAGCTCTGGAAAAGTTAGCTTACTAAATTACCAGTTTATTATAAAAGAACTCAATTTAGGAATGGCCAGATGGGAGAGATGCATAAGACAAGGTATGGGAGAAGGGGTGTGGGGCTTTCAGGCCTTCTCTGGGCACACCACTCTCCCAGCAGCCTGTTGTGCTCATCAATCCAGAAGCTCTCCAAGCCGTTCAGTTAGGGTTTTTGTTGTTGTTTTTAATGGAGGCTTCATTCATCACTTAGGCATTGTTGACTATATCATTGGCCATTAGTGATTAACTCAACCTCGAACCCATCTTCCCTCCCTGGAGGTCAGAAATTGAGGCTGTGGGGCTGAAAGTTCCAACCCTCTAATCATACGGTTCTCCTGGCAACCAGCCTCCAAACCCCGGGGGCTTTCCAAAAGTCACTTCATTTGCATAAACTGGTGTGTTTGACCAAGGACTTGTTATGAATAACCAAAGATGCTCCTTTCACTTTTATCTCTCCAGAACTATTTGAGGAATAGAGACAAAACCCAGAGTATGACAAAAGATGCTCTTATCACTAAGTAAATTCCAGGCTTTTAGGAGCTCTGGAACCAGGAACGAAGGCAAAGTATATATTTCTTATTTTATCACAGTATCACAGAGAGGGATTAAGAAACACTTCTGAAGGTCACAGGTCTTAGGGACACAGGTCCACTAAAATACTGAGATTTTATCATAAATTAATAGAACAATTCCTCTCCCCCAAACCTTACCACAACACCAACAGGGCTCCAGTAGTAACAGTGGGTTACAGCTAAAAGAGCTACAAAGTACAAATTCTTTGAGGAGGACTATCTAAAGGAAGCCCAAAGTCAAGAGTGGAGTAAAAATAAAGGCTAGGGGAATTTGAGGCCAGAGCACACAAACACAGCTCAGCTCCTAATCAGGTTATTAAACCCACATACTGTTGGCTTATTTACCTCAGTTCTTATTACCCAATACAGCCAATATTGTCTGACTTCCAACAAAATGACAAGCATGCTAAAAAAAAAGGCAAGGCAAAAAACACAGTCTGATGAGATAAAGCAAATATCAGAATAGACACGGATGGAGTTATCAGGGAATTTAAGATAACTTGTGTTAAGGAGTCTAATGGTAAAAGTAATATGCAAGAAGAGATGGGTAATGTAAGCAGAGATGAGAACTCTAGGAGATGGTCAAAAGGAAATGCTGGAAATTTAAAAAAAAAACAAAACACTGTCACAAAGAATGCCTGTGATGGGCTCATCAGTAAATTGGACTCAGCTGAGGACAGAATCCGTGCTCTTGAAGGTAGGTCAACAGAAACTTTCCCACTGAAATGCACAGAAAAAATGCTAAACGTTTTTTAAAAGGAGGGTGCTCTAAAGCGAAGGTGTACACGGCTGCAGCCCAACTCCCACTTGAAAACACCGCTAGCAAGGACTACAAGTTCCAGATTGCCCCGCGGCACCTGCGCTGGTCGCCGAGAAGAGTCTCCTGTGAGTCTGCGCGGGAAGACGAAACTGCCCGGAACCGCGCGGAGAAAACTGCTCCGCGAGGTTTGTCCCCGGCAGGCGCGTGCTGCTCTGGTCCCGTCTCGCCTCTGGCTTCGCGGCACCGCCACCGCCGCCATGCTCATGAAAGGCCGCTTTCCCATCCGCCGCACCCTGCAGTACCTGGGCCAGGGGGACGTTGTATTCAAGGACTCGGTGAAGGTCATGACGGTGAATTACAACACGCACGGGAAGCTGGGCGAAGGCGCCAGGTCAGTCCGAGACCTGTCAGGCTGCTCCGGGTGATTGTAACAACGTGTTAGTAACGTGGAGACTTGGGGCTGCGCTTAATTCTGGGTCTGGACCCCCGAGGTTGGTGCTATTGCCACCATTTTGCAGAATTGTGGAGCAAGCTTCTCCACAGCGAGAAGACGACAGCGGGGCCACGCCTTGCCGGCAAACTTGGGGGAGGGGAGGGCAGGGGCTCCCTCTTCCTTCTCCCCCTGGGGTGGAGGACACGGCCAACCCGGGAAGACCTCGGCCACTTTAATCACCTGTGCCTCTAGGCCAGCATTTGGGAGGAGCAGCAGGCGGTCTGGGTGGAACCCAGCCTAAGGCGACGGACCTTGTTCGGGTCCCTTTCCATTTGCTGCTGGCTTTGGGCGAGTTGATCCTCCTCAATGTCCCAAACGCGGATGATAGCAACGCCCCAGGGCCGATGTGGGAATGCACTGGGAGAAGTAACAGCTGCTGGCATTTATTGAGTTCTTAAATGTGCAGCACGTTCTGAATGCTTCTAGTGTATTCTCCATTTGGTCCCTTAAGGAATCCCATTGTTATACCCACTCTGGGATTGAGGAAATGCACCGAGAGGTTAGGTAACTTGCCTGTCCAAAGTATCACAGCTAGTGAGTGGTGGCTCTCCAACTGCTGCTTTTTTGGTAGGACTTCTGTTATAATTAAGTGACTTGTCAGCTGTGTAGTGACACCCCCACCCGCCTCCGAAATTACATGGTTTTCAGCCTGGAGCAGTCAATGAGTGGAAGCTTGCAAATGAAAGGTTTGAATTGAACCTTGAGGCAACAGCCATGCTCTGGGCTTCTCTGGTACTAAGTATAAATTTATTGAGCGCTAGCTGACTGCTAGGCTCTGCTGTGTGCTGGGAATTCATCAGTGCCTAAGAAGAAAGTACTGTCCTGCAGAACTTTGAGATCAGGTGTGTGGAATGGATCAGAACGAGACATGAGAGCAACTCCCTGTGAAGTGTGGTCTCTAATGGAAGGGCCCTCACTGCACTGCTGTCCCGGATAGCCATAGCTACCTCTTAGCCATTTGTTCTCCACTAAGGAACCCAAGAACGTGGACCTGCTTCCATGGGATCATTGGTCACCCTTCATGACCCACTGTGTACATGTCCACACCAGAGATCACGAGGCAGAGGCCAGGCAGGCAACAGAAAGGAGAGAGGCAGGCTGCATGGGCCTGCGTGAACTGGAAAGATGTGCCCTGTCTCAAGGGGCCATTCACTGTTTGGCTACATCTTACCTATGTCTGCCCTAAGAGAACTTCAGATTTGTTGAGAAGCCATAAGTTCCGATTTTTATGTTAATATCTGGTATTTAAATTGGCGAACCAGTCAAAATAGGCCTGCAAACCCTAGTTTACCTGCTTAAGTATTTTAATACCCTCTAGGTAAATAGGATACTAACAGCCATAGTGTGCTTCTTGTTCCCAGGGGCTTGCGTTCCCACCTGTGTCTTTTTTGTGATTTCATACCCTTGGGTTTGAGAGCCTGCCTGGTTTGCACCTTCCAGCCCCACAGGCCTTTGCTTGTTCATGTGCCCTTGCCATTTCAGCTGTTCCTCCATTCCAAGTGCTGCTGGCCAGTATCATAGCGCCAGGGTAGCCACAGTCTTGGGCTATCTTCTGGGTGTGTGGGGGAGCTGCCTTGTTCAGTGCCTGAGGGCTAAGTCCCCACTCACCTGTGCCAGGGGGTTCTTGCCTCTAGGATGCAGTGAGAGAAGTGACAGCTATCAGCATTTATTGAGTTCTGGGTTTGTCCCTGAGCCTCAGGATCTAGGTGGGCTGGGTAATTTGATAGCGACAGAACAGAGTGGAAGAAGTCCAGATGCTAATCACAGCCCTGGTTCTATCACTTACCAGTTGTTGACATAGGGCAGATTATTTACTTTTTAGGTTTTCCTTAGTTGTAAAAGCCTACCTTCCAGGGTTGCTGTGAGGATTCGAGAAAAAAGTGCCTAGTAAGGTGTCTGGCTTATAAAGCAATTGCTCAACTAAAGGTTACTCACCGTTATTAACTCTTCCCACGCTTCAGCAGGAACCACTTGAAGATCCCGTTGAATCTTTAGGAGTTTTGGGTGTGAAAAATTCTGACATGCATATGTCTTGTTTTATATGTACAAAACTCTGTGATACTGGGGTAGGCCAAGAAGCTACATTCAGCCTTTGAGCTTCTGGCCCCATCTGCTGTCCTGGTTTGCAACTTCCTCCTCTATAGGCAGCAGCTTTCAACTCTTAACCATTTAATTAGGGTTTTCCCTCCTTATAGTTAAATAACTTATTTAGAGGGTTACTTATTTTCTTAGCTTTAGAATCATCTAGTACCTTGTCACTATGGAAGATGAGGATTTAGCTCTTTCACTGCTGTTTCCATCCCCCACACTCAGCATGTGTGTACTACCTGACCCCCCGAGCCCAGTTTTCCCAATAGTCATTTCAAAAATTTGGATAGAACAATATTCAGTGTTTACTATGATATTGTGAGCATCATACACAGTTGAGCCAAATAGAATACTATGATTATTTCTCCATTTTGTTTTTGCACAGGTTTTTGTTTTCCCTGGAATTAATGATTGTCATTGCTTTTCTTTCAGCTCAGATTCTGCCCCAATTATGGAAGTCTCCCCAGCTAAATGGTCACACAATCAGGCTTTCTGTTGATTCTCTCAATTTTATCTTCTTGAAAATAGACTTTAGGCTCCATTGTGGACTGCTTGTCCTGCATTGCCAGCTTCTTGGCGTACCACTGAAGCACAGAGCACTAACTGGCCTTGGGTCACACAGCTGGGAAGTGGTAGTTGGGCAACTGTGCTTCTGTCCTGTGTACCACTCCCACCTTTCTGTCCTCTGGTGTGTGGGGCAGGGTGGGCAGCAGGAAGCCAAGGGGGCATTTAAATTCAGATCATTTGGGGAGCCTTTAAGTAAGGGACTATTTACAAAGGTTTCGGTGTGACGAGGGAAAGAAACCACAGGGAACAGTGCAGGATCCCCAGTCTAGGCTTGCAGAAGTTGGGGGGAGTTGGAGAGGACTGCCTGGTAGAAGCCTGGGACTTAGCCAGGGTGTGGGCCAGGGAAATAAGCACCTTGGCTCTACTCCTTCCTTCCAGCCTTTGCCAGGGCTCCCTGTTGGCCAAATGCAACAGAATCCAGAGGGCAAGGAGTCCCATTTCCACAGCCCGGGTGAGGTGCCGTTCAGGATGGAAAGAGGTGGAGAGGAATGCAGAGATAGAGATGTATTGTAATGACTTAGTAAGTCCTCTGTTGAGGGGCACTTAAGTCGTTTTTGTTGCTCTGCTGTAAGAAATAATGTTGTAGTAAACCTCACATATGTGTTTGCATTCATATAAAAATATCTAAAAGCAGAAGTGAAATTGAATAAAAATCTATGCTTTAAAAATTTTGCTAGTTCTAAATTTTAACTCCTAGGAAGTTAGATCATTTTATACTTTTAATGAAATGTATCCCTACTTCTATAACTTTCAAAAAATGTTGCAATCTAAGAGGAGAAAAACGATATTTTAATCTACATGACTTTATTAGGAAGAGAGGCTATTGGCCTTTGCCTATTTGTGGCCTTTGCCTATTTGTGGCCTTTGCCTTTTGTTCTTTTCAGCTGTAAATCTCACTGACTGTGTAAAACTGTCACAAGGTAATTCGCCTTTTGTTTTATGTTTTACAAACACTTTTCCCTTTGGTTTGGTGAATGTTTTGTTTTTGGTACATTTTTCCATGCAGAATGAGGGACTTCCGGCCAAGATGGAGGCGTAAGTAGACACACTGTGCCTCCTCGCACAACCAAAATAAGGACAATAAAAATTTAGGGAAAAAAAAAGTACTGACAGAATATTGGACTGTATGGAAGTCTGACAACCAAGGAGTTAAAGAAGAAACATTCATCCAGACTGGTAGGAGGGTGGAGTAGGGCGGCCGGGCAGATAGGACTTGTGGCAAAGCAGTGGCTGGCGGACTCCAGGCACGCAGGCGGCAGTGGGCGGACCTAGCGAGGCGGGGGATTGTGGAACAGGGCGCAGCACACAAGGCAGCTGGTAGATCGGGCGGGTCCCACATTTGTGCGCAGATAAACCTGGAGAAACTGGGGAGTGAGACAGACCACGCAATCCAGCGTCCCAGTGCTGGGAAATAAAGCCTAAAAACACTGATTGAAAACACCTGTGGGGCTTGAGGTGCCAGGAGAGACTCCCAGCCTCACAGGAGAGTTCTTTGGAGAGACTCAGGGTCCTAGAATGTACACAAGCTCACCCACCCTGGAACCAGCACCAGAAGGGATCAGTTTGCTCCGGGAAGGGGCGGAAGTGACTGAAATCCCAAGAGCAGAGCAAGCGCCATTGTTCCCTCTTGGACTCTGCCTCCATGTACAGTGTCACAATCTAGAGACTGGGTTGCCCTGCCCTGGTGAACACCTAAGGCTCCGCTCCTCACTATGTAACAGCTGCCTCAAGACAAAAAACAATGGCCCAAGTGAAGGAACAGATCAAAGCTCCAGCTATAATACAACTAAGTGATGATGAGATAGCCAACCTATCAGATGCACAATTCAAAGCACTGGTGATCAGGATGCTCACAGAATTGGTTGCATTTGGTCCCAAATTAGATGAACAAATGAAGGCTACACTAAGTGAAATGAAGGAAAATGCACAGGGAACCAGTAGTGATGGGAAGGAAAATGGGACTCACATCAACAGTGCGGACCAGAAGGAAGAAAGAAACATCAAATCAGAAAAGAATGAAGAAACAAGAATTCAAAAAAATGAGCAGAGGCTTAGGAACCTCCGGGACATCTTTAAACGTTTCAACATCCGAATTATAGGGGTACCAGAAGGAGAAGAATAAGAGCAACAAGTGGAAAAGTTATTTGAACAAATAATAAAGGAGAACTTCCTCAGTCTGGCAAAGGAAATAGGAAGTCCAGGAAGCTCAGAGAGTCCCAAAGAAGTTGGACCCAAGGAGGAACACACCAAGGCACATCATAATTACATTAGCCAAGGTAAAAATGAAGGAGAGAATCCTAGAAGCAGCAAGAGATAAGGGGACAGTTACCTACAAAGGAGTTCCCATTAGACTGTCAGCTGATTTCTCAAAAGAGACCTTACAGGCCAGAAGGGGCTGGAAAGAAGTATTCCAAGTCATGAAAGGCAAGGACCTACATCCAAGATTGCTCTATCCAGCAAAGCTCTCGTTTAGAATGAAAGGGCAGATAAAGTGCTTCTCAGATAAGGTCAAATTAAAGGAGTTCATCATCACCAAGCCTTTATTATACGAAATGTTGAAGGGACTTATCTAAGAAAAAGATGATGAAAAATACAAATAGTAAAATGTCAGTAAACTCACAAGTATCAACAACTGAACCTAAAGAAACAAAAACAAAAATGAACTAAGCAAACAATTAGAACAGGAACAGATTCACAGAAATAGAGATCACATGGAGGGTTAGCAGCAGGGGAGTGGGAGGAGGAGAGGGGAAAAAGTATAGAGAATAAGTAGCATAGATGGTAGGTAGAAAATAGGGGGAGGTTAAGAATAGTACGGGAGATGTATAAGTTAAAGAACTTAGAAGTGTGACACATGGACATGAACTAAAGGGGAATGTGGGTGGGAGGGGGTGTGCAGGGTGGAGGGGAGTGAAGGGAGGGAAACAGGACAACTGTAATAGCATAATAAACTATATTAAAAAATTTTTTTGCCATGCAAAAGTTTTAACGTAGTTACCCTTTAAACTTTCTAAGTGTAAAAGTTTACCAATTCTAGATCATAAAAACTTCCCACGTGTTTGTTTTTGTGTGTTTTTAAATGTCAGTAGACATGAGGTGCACACCTGTATACTGCTTCATGAATTCTACATGTGGATGCACCTGTAGAATTCACATGGAGATTGAATTCAACCGCCATTCACATGAAGATTGGGGACATCCCAGATTCTCTTTTCCATGTGTACTTCTGCTTTGGTAAATTTTAGGTTGGTGGGCAGTGTGAGGTGGGGGCACTGACTTCTCTTCCGTCAGGTCACGGACCGCGGGTCTGAACGCTGTGCTCAGGGAGCACACCAGCACATTCCAGAAAGTTACTTTTCTCAGCCTTTTTGGGGGGCAGGGTCCTCTGAGAATCTGATGAAAGTTCTGTTCTTTTTTTCTAGAGAAATAAGTATATAGGTTGTACAATTTTAGGTTCAAAACTCTTGTTCCATGGGTTTTTTTCTTTGCAGGAAATTTGTGTTTTTCAACATACCTCAGATCCAATACAAAAACCCTTGGGTGCAGATCATGATGTTTAAGAACATGACACCATCACCCTTCCTTCGATTCTATTTAGGTGAGTGTGGGGTGTCTGCTCTGGTCCAGGACTCTTTCCTCCTGTCTGTTCTTCCTGCCAGAGCAGTCAGGTGGTCTGAGGTACAAGCTGTTGTGAAACTAACATTGCTCCTGTCAGCCTGGTTGCAATGGCTGTTGAGATCTGGGTGCTTCCCGCCCCCAATCTCCTGTTGCTTTCATGTATCTTTCTTACATGCCTCACACCACACAGGCTGGTTTTTCCAAATTCCCTTGCCACACCTTGCTTTGATGCCTTTATTCATGCTGGTCCCTCTGCTGAAATCCTGTTTTTACTTTTTTCCCTCTAATTTAATGTTTTAAAAATCCTTCAAGACTAACCTTGGGCACCACTTCTTCCAGGAAAGCTCTACCACACACTTAGATGGGCGCTCCCCTGCCTCCTAGGGGCCCTCTCTTGGTGCTGGCCATGTTGCCTGGAGTAGCGCTTGTCTGTGCGTCCTCTCCGCACCAAGTGACACTCAGTTAACTGGGCCTCAGTGCCTGGAAGTCAGAAGACCAGATGTTTTGGTTCAGTTCTTAGTCATTCTGACCCTGAGTGAGAAACATTCCCATTGCTTTACTTCTCAAGTAAAGGCAAAACATCAGCCTTACACAGTGAAGAGAATCAAATGAAGTATAGATTGGAAAATGCTTTGGGAAACAAAATCATGTTCTTTCATTTTATTTCTGGCCAGGAAGGGCCAGAGCATTCAGCAAACACATCATGCTAGGACCCTCGGGCTTGGGGTGTCAGGGAGCCATACAAAGATCCCCGCCCTTGCAGAGATGAACTCTGGCAGGGGAGACAGATGCCCGGGTAGGTTCTCCGATTTTTTTGTTTTAGAAGAGACCATTTGTATCTTTTGTCCATTAATTAAAAAAATGGGCTTTAAAACATTCTTTATATGTTCTGGATGTAATTCCTTTGTTAGTTATATGTATTGTGAATATTTTTTTGTCTGTGGCTTGCTTCTCCTTAGTGGTGTCTTTTTAAATCCTTACCCAAGGACATTTTTTTCATTGCTTTGAGAGAGAGAAACATCAACTGGTTGCCTCCCATACTTGCCCAGACCGGGGATCCCAAGCCCCTGGACTGAACCCGCAACCTTTTGGTTATGGGATGATGCTCCCACCAAGCCAGCAGGGCCAGGGCTTTGCGGCGGCCTTTGGAGAGCACAAGTTTTTGGTTTGATAAACCCCAGCTTATCAGTCGTTTTCTGTTGTGTTTAGTGCTTTTTGTGTCCTGTCCAAGAAATTTCTGCCCACCCCAAGAATGCAAAGATTTTTCTCATCTTTTCTTTAGACAGTTTATAGTTTTAGATTTTACATTTAGGTCTGTGCTTTAGTTTGAGTTATTTTCTGTGTATTAAGTAAGGGTAGAGATTGAGGTTTGTTTTTGTTTTTTTAGATTCATGATATTCAGCTGTTACAACACTGTTTGTTGGACAGCTGTCCTTTTCCTTATTGAATTCCTTGTCATCTTTGTCAGAAGTCTATCCAGATAGTCAGCCATGAAAAGGTATGCAGTACTGACACAGGCTACATTACAGATGAACCTTAAAAATACTGTGTTAGTGAAATAAGCCAGACATGAAAGGCCACACATTTTGCATGATTCCATTTATGTGTCATGTCCAGAACAGGCTAATCCATAGAGAGACAGTGGTTGCCAGGGAGGGGGGTTGGTACTGCGAGTAGGAAGTGACTTTAATTGGTAAAGGGTTTCTCCTTGGGGTGATGAGAAAGTTCTGGAACTCCATAATGGTGATAGTTTTACATTTTGAATGTACCCAAACCCACCAAATTACATATTTTAAAATGGTTAAAATGGTGAATTTTATGTTGTGTATTTTACCATACACACAAAAAAATCACTTGGTCATGTATTTCTGAAACTCCTCATCCTCTTGCACTGTTCTGTGTCTGCCCTTATACTAATACCATACTTTCTTGGTTTTTGTAGCTTTTTAAGTGTTAAGATCAGGTAGTATAAATCCAACTTTGCTCTTTTCTTTTCTTCCAAAATTACTTTGGCTAGTCTAGGTTCTTCGCATTTCCATATAAACTTTAAAACTTAACCAGTTTCTAGAAAAAAGCTGCCAATTTAGCCAATGAATTATGGTGGTGCTGGGATTTTGATCAGAATTCATTATAGCTCATTTTGTGAAGAATGGACATTTTAACAATATTATGTTTTGTGACTATTGTAAATGGTATTTAAAAAATATTTTTATTTTTAGAGCGGGGGAGCAAGAAAGGGAAACAAACATTCATGTGTGGTTGCCTCTCGTGCACCCCCTACTGGGAACCCGGCCCTGCAACTCAGGCATTTGCCCTGACTGGGAATTGAACTGGCGACCCTTTGGCTTACAGGCCAGCACTCAGTCCACAGAGCCACACCAGCCAGGCCTGTAAATGGTACTTTTAAATATTTTATTTTTCAGGGTTTTTGGTTAATATAGTTGATTTTTGTGTATAGACTGTGTCTTGCAACCTTGCTATAAAACTGCTTATTTTTTGTAGTTTTATTTTCTAAATTCCTTAGAATTTTCTACATACACAATCATGTCATCGACAAATAGTTTTATTTCTTTCCCATTTTTTTCTCTTTGTCTTAATTCATTGGCTAAATTGGCAGTAATATTTTGCATTTTTACCAGTAATGTAGGAAAGTTCCCATTACTCTGCATCCTCACTAACACTTGGTATTGTCCATTTAAAAAATTGTAAGCCACTCTTAATTTTTTTTGTATCCAAAATGTGTTATTGGGATGGTTCCCTCCCTGCTCAACTCGACTCAGGTGCTTTTCCTTCTGAAGGAGCACCCTTCTGAAAGCCTTGCTTTTCCTCCTGTGGGCTGATAGAGGACAGTGGGGCAGCCAACACACCGGACTGTCATTTGTGCATGGCTAAAGGTGGTGCTGATTTTATGGCGTCCTGGGAATTCCACATCTATGACGTAGGAACTGGGGCTCTGTACCAGGTGCTTCTTCTTGTGTTTCCTCTTCTCTTCTGGAGAGGGATGAAGGTCTTTGGCCAGAGGCATATTGTGGGGAGGTTGTCACCACTGGCCTCATTGTAGTTTTAATTTTTTTCATTTTCCTAATGACTAAGTGTCTATTACTTATTACCTTTTTTCCTTAAATGTTTATTCAACCATTTTGCCCATTTTTTAGTTGGATTGTGTGAGCTGTGGGAGTTCTTTGTATAGTCAAGAGCCAAGTCCTTTTGTCAGGTGTATGCACTATGAACATAATCCCCCAATCTATTGCTTATAGTAAATTTTGAAGCACAAAAGTTTTGAATTTTAAGTCCAGTTTGATCAGATTTTCTCTATGGATCATGTTTTTGATGTCATATCTAAGAACCTTTGCCTAGGTTATAAAGATTTTGTTTCTTCAAAAAGTTTTCCTACCATTCATGTTTGGTCCATTTTGAGATTTTGTTTTTTTAATATTGGGAGGTAAAGGTCTAAATTCATTTATTTGCATGTGCATATCTAGTTGTCCCAGCACCACTGGTTTAAAGGACTGTCTTTCCTCACTGAATTGCTTGGCATCTTTGCTAAAAATCAATCGACCGCAAGTATAAGGGTTTATTTCTGGACTCGGTTCTGTTCCATTGCTGTGTAGTCTTCTCTTAAGGACTATATGACTTGATTACTGTAGCTTATGGTAAATATGAAATTGGGAAATGAACATCCTTCCATTTTGTTTATCAAAATTGTTTTTGCATGAATTTTAGGCTCAACTTGTCAGTTTCACACAAATATCCACTGGGATTCTGGTGGGGATTGCTTTGAATCTATAGACCAGTTTGGGGAGGATTGCCATGTTAACAATACCGAATCTTTCTATCCACGAACATGGGATTTCTATGAAATAGTATGCTTTCGGACATGCCTAAAATTTGTCCATTCATATTTAAAGAAATATGGAAATGTAGTATATTATGGGTTATGTAAACAAATATATTTACTGTTAAAATATTTCTCCACTAAAAGCAAATCCCAAATCACTACCATCTGAGGCTGAGGGGCATGATTCCAAGTTCTCAGTACTCACACCCCCCCCTTACTTCCTGTTTCCAGATTCTGGTGAGCAGGTTCTTGTGGATGTGGAGACCAAGAGCAATAAAGAGATCATGGAGCACATCAAAAAAATCCTGGGGAAGAATGAGTGAGTTGCTGGGGTTGACCTGAAGGGATCAAACGTCTTAGCCCAGATACTTGGAGAGAGGGGAAGGAGGGGATGTGTTGGGAGGGGTGTCAAGAGGGCAGGCTCTCTGACAGCGCGTCAGACACTCACCTGGAGAGTCTGTTGCATTTGCTTTGCTGCTCACCAAGATGCGTGGCTGTAAGTCACTGAGCCTCTGAGCTGTAACTCCTTTCCCTGTGAAGTGGGGATAAACGTCATCCCTTGCTCCTGAGGTCAGTGGGAAGCAGAGATGTAGCTAAAATACTTGCTCATTGTGGCCAGAAACATGCCCCAGCTTGGGGATAGTGGGTGTCCAACCCCAGAGCCTGCTGTGACATGTCCATTTTCTTTCCAGGGAGGAGAGGAAAGTGAGGGAAGCCAAGAATGTCTGAGGAAGCACACGGAGGCATTTCCAGGCCCTTTTATCCCGCTTATCCCACCCAGTCAGACATGGGGCTGCCCCTGGCTATCTGTTCTAAGCTGATTGTTGCTGTGTGGGCCTGGGGTGAAGTGTGCTTCCCAAGTGATCTCCCCTGGGGCTTAACACTGCCCACGTGCTGAAGGCCGCACCTGTGGTGAGGGGAGGGACAGGTTTGGGGAGCGGGGAGCAAGTTAGACATGGGAGATCCAGGTCTGAGTGAACCCCACCATCTGCCATCTCCAGGCAGATGATGGGGTTCACTCTGAGAACTTCTGTGCTTCCCAGGGGGTCAGAGCAGTGTTGCCAACATCTTGTTGCTTCTGTGCTCTTTGGTAGGGCAACCCTCAAGAGAGAGGAGCAGGAGAAAAAGCAGCTTTCTCACCCAGCTCACTTTGGACCTCGAAAGTATTGCCTGCGGGAGTGCATCTGTGAGGTGGAAGGGCAGGTGCCCTGCCCAGCCCTGGTGCCGCTGCCCAAGGAGATGACAGGGAAGTACAAAGCAGCTCTGAAAGCTAGTGCCCAGGACTAAAGCCCCAGGCCTGTAGGCTAGGATTACCTTGGCCACAGGGACCTGGCTCTGTCCCGATAGACTGAAAATAAAATGCCCCTTAATCACTCCAGCAGTATGGTGTGTATCCAGTCTGGTAAGAGGAGGAAGACCTGCAGAGGGGCAGGGCTTTGGGATCAGGCTGTTAAGGCTACAGCCTGTTGATACCCCTGCGTTGACCCTGTGGCCTTTTCCTATTCTCCACTGGTTTCGGCTCCTCTTCCAGATCCTGCTCTGGAGAATTAAGAGTTGCTGTGGTTGAGTTTGGTTGAGGCCATCCATGGCTGACAGTGTGGATGTCCCCTCCATTCAGACTCTCTGGTTATTTTTCAGAAATTCAGAGCAAACCTTTGAGCAGTGCTCACTTTTAAAAACTAAAGCCAACTGACCCTTTCCTCTTGAGGGGCCTGGCTGTGGGTATGCCAGCAATGCAGGAGGCCCAGTGGCATGAGAGACCAGCGTCCCTTAGGGATGCACCCAACGGCGAGTCAGCCACTGCCAGCCCCTGTAGTCCCAGCCCCGTGCCCCATAGCAGGTAGGTTTCCAGACCATGGAGGAGGAAAGAAGGTGCCGATGGATCAAGACTTTTGGGCCCTTCCCTGAGGGACTAGTGTTGGAGGCTGCCTCTCAGTTCACCTTCTTGGCTTGTTCAGTTCTTGCTTAAATTTTGGAAGAGGGTCTGCCTAGTAGTTCTTTCCTCTTCAGGACACTGATATTTCTGACACTTTAGTGTGCTGGTTTTTAGCCCTTAGGAGACATCAAAGCCCTCTGAGGTTCACTGTAAGAATAAGTTGGTCAAAAGTGAAGGCCCAGTTGGACTACAGACCCATGCAAACACAGACCAGGAGACTGCCCAGTGGGGTGCAGCAAGAAGGTGGGTACAGAAGAGCAGGCGTCAGGTCCGCGTTCCTCTCTGATGGGACACTTCCTTGGTTGAGGTCTGACCATCTCTGTAAAATGGGTAGAGGGTATCACCCCATAAGGTAGTAAGCTGTGGGAAATGAGGTGAAACTAAATGTGTTTTATTTGAATATTGGAGATTATCCCATTAAATTAAGAAGTCTGATTCTTCCTACATTTGATGCTCAAGTTATGGTTTACTGTGATTTTGTACCAGACCGGTGTTCAGGGTGATGGCTTTGAGGGGTTGGGAGGGGTGAGGGGATGTGTGGGGCTAACGTGTAACTAACTGGCAGGCTTACTCAGTTTTGTTCAACTGGAATTCAAAATCTTGGTGCCTTCTACCCCATCAACATTTTACAAGGTGGCTAGAAAAACCTGTCCTCCATTCTAATCCCTCCTGTGGGTGCTGGCTTCAGTTTCTGCAATGTTTCTAACAATCCCACCTGGCTGGTTGCAGTGTGGCCTTTACACCAAGCTGACTGGACTGCCTCCTGGGCCACTGGGCCTTTCAGAGTTCATTCCTTTTGGTCTTTCCACAGCTGGTAAGACGAAAGGCCTTGTGGAAGTATTCCTTCCCTCCATGGCCCACAGGGCCCAGAGAGGCAGCTGACCAGGACTGCCCTGACCCAGGCTAGTGACCCCTCTTTAGAGAAATAACAAATGCCCAGTGCCTGACAGGAAAGCACCACTGTTTGCATGGGCTGTTTTCATAGACAGCAGATAATGATGCTTGGAAATGAACACCATTATGGGGCATTATCTCTTTAAACCTTTTGTTTTCCATTTCCTACTTTAATGATGAAAGACAGGCTTAAAACTTACAGAAATGGGAGAAAATTATTAAAGACTGCTGTGAAGATTTTGATTTACACAGTGTTTCTTAATTTTATTTGCATAACCAATGTTTGCCAAGTAGTTTTTGACTTTGTTCCACTGAAGTGACCAATTTTCTTTTCATCCTGAGTACTACCTTACCAGGCTATTTAAAGCTATTTGGCTGCCAGTGGGTTCTGCTAAGAATTGGCTCTGCTAAGTCTTGACTTTGGATCTGAGACTCCTCACCTGTAAAATGAGAGGTCAGATGACTTGTGAAACTTTAAGAATACATCTCCTTTGGTCTGAGGCCAGGCTATTTGTGTCTAGCAGCTGTCTTTGAGGTCTGGCAACCAAGGCCCTGCTCCAGAAAAGTCCAGTGAGCCATCAAATGGACAGGGCTAAGTTGCTTTTGGCTGAGGCTAAGGTGAGGCAAGAGCTACAGGGTGTGACTAGGACACTTTATCACCTACTAGGAGTTTAGGCGAGAGTGCTCTGGGGACTTCTGGGGGTCAGGCATTATTGTTATTACTATTATGAGGAAAAATGATGAGCAGAATGCACATTAGTCTTTAATTAACTTTTAATAGTATAAACCTCATTTAGGTAGTAGTATTAAGCCACAACAATAATGCCACATTGAAATAGCATTTAATAAAATGCATAAAGCTAATTCATGCACTGCAATACTCTATATACAAACACGACAATGCAAATTCTTCTTCAAGACTGAAGACATTGATTAGATATAAAATTCAGTTTAAAAAGAACATGCTATTTTTAAATGCCATCACATAAACAAAGCTGATTTCAAGCTACAGCTTTCAACAGGTTTTAAACCTGGAATTAAAATGTAATGGCATAAACAATATTTTCTGTATTAGGAAGGGCAGGGGTTACAGAAACGGTCCCAAGAAAATCTAACACCCAAATTTTCCCTTAACAGACATCTTTTAAAAGGGCTGGTAATACTTAGCTACATTTAAACAGAGGTCCAAACTACAGGTAAAAACTATGGTTTTGTACTATGAAAAATGTGCAGCTTTTCAGTTATAAAACTAGTTGAACACTGGTTTACAAGATAATTGGGAGGATATAGAAAAATAGTCCAGCACTTGAGTTGTATGTGGCAGCAGCATTTGAGTCCATAAATGTTCTGGTTGTTAAAATTATACTTTCCTAGAGAAAAGTCATTTTTCATGTAAAGTCTACATCCAAATGTTATCCAAATATTAAGCTTTATCACAATCCGTCAACTGATAAATGTTGCTGAGCATTTTTCAGCACTTATATTTTATAGCACTTTTTTTCTATGTTGTATGTATACATTTTGAGACACCAAAATTATTGTCTGCTTAATTCAAAGTATAGTGGGGCATTAAAAATATCTCAGACATCCCCTACCCCAAGATACTTTTTTTAAAGGTCTCATTTTATTTTTAGTGTGCCGCTAAGATAAATAGCTCCAAAGGAAAATTTTTATTTTAAAGACTCATTTAGAGACTGTCAATCTTCCATTTCTATTATGTGAACTGGAAAGCTACTTTCAATAGTGATTGTCACAACAGGCAAGGACGTGGGAAAGGTGACAATCACTGCTGGGAGGCCAGTGAAGCAGCAGGAGCTTCTTTACATCACAGATAGGGAAGCTGGAGGCCGAACAGCCCAGTCTCACAAAAGGCACTGAGTACATGGTCTCAATGAAGTGTTTTCAAACATTCCAACAGCTTATTTAAAAAAAAAAGAAAAAAAAAAGAAAAAAAAGCAACTTGTGGATTAGGTTTTTGCAGCTATTGAGTGGTTTCTTTCATCAGGCCAGCTTTCAATCTTCCTGACAGTTAGGCCCCTGTGCTTACCAGGTCCATGAGCAACTACTGCTGGGCTGAGCCCTGGTTTCCAAGTGCCATGTCTCAGTTAAAGCCCGATTTAAGGGGAAAAAAATCACCAGAATAAACCTGAACAAGGAAAATGTGGCATCTGTAGCTTTAAGGGCATACATATCCATATTAAAATGCAAATTGTATCTGAAATTTTAAAATCATAATTTAGAGAAATAAGTCAGAAGATTTCATTCACATGCTATAGTTGGAGAAGTAATTTAAGATTTGTAACATATGCCATAAAGTTAGCCATCAACATTTATGCTTATTTTTAAAGAATACCTGGTAGGCTTTTCTTTTCTTTTCTTTTTTTTTTTTTTGCGTAACTGGAGTTAGGCATTTGTTTACTCACAGGGCAGTGCCTACCGTATGCTGAATCCAGAGCAAGTGGGGAAACTGCTACCATACTGGGTGCCAGGTCCCATGACACAGACTGTTCTGAAACTGACCACATGACACAGCGAGTCTGGGAAGGCCAACAGCTTGAACTACCAAGTTCCTTCCAGTTAGCCCATAAATGGGCGTATGAAAACCAGATTAAAGATCCCCATCTAGTTTTTGGACATTAGGATAAATTGTTTTCCAGCTTCCTAGCTCTTGTCTGACCCTAGAGAATACATAGCAGTGTCATCCTGTTGGGACTTTTTCCTGTCTGGAACTTCCCCTGGTACAGAGTGGAGATTTGACTTCATGGCCTTTCCCAGACAGACCATCCAAAGGAAAATGGAGTTAAATCTCAGCAAATCCATCCTCCCCAGGGACCTTGGAACACCCACATCAATTTATTTTAGCAACTCTTATCATAGATTCTCTTTTAAAACATAAGGAGGGTTTGGGTATGTGGCTACATGTCTGTATACATAATATACATCTATGTACACATACACACTATATACACTGTACATATATAGAAGATATAAACACATGTACATTCGTTCAGTCATACAAGCCTATAAATCGGTACATAACAATGTGCTGAGGGGAGCTCAGGGCTGGACATGCAGACATGCCACGCTGGTGGGAGGCATACAGCCCTGTGTACAAGAGACCCATACCCACTCTGTCTGAACTAGAAACATCAAAGTTAGAACATTTGCAGAGAGCCGCACAATCTAGTAGGGAATGGAAGTGGGACAAGTATGGGGTCATCTGCCCTGCCTTTTCAGACCTTTCCAGGATCTAAAGGGCACTGACCTCCTGAGATAAAAGTATCAGAAGATGACACTTTTCATGACCTGGGCTCAGAGAAGAGTTGAAATGTCACCTGTAGCCCCACTGCACATCAGGCCATTTCCACTGGAAAGGAGGCCATGTACCCCCTGACTCTAATCTAACCAGGTCATACATAGAACTTGGATCCATAGCCAAGGGCTGCCTGGTAGGCAGGAGGCAGGCAGGGAGTGACACTGCTCTGCTGGGAACGCCCCCAAAGGGCCAGGATGTGGTTTTCCCAAAATGAAAGCACAAGGTACAAGAAGAGCCCTTCTAATTCTTGGCTCCTTGCCATGGCTGTCCTCAAATAATCAAAACTGCTAAGTAAGCTCTAGTGAGAGCGCTGCCGCCATGTTGGGGAACCCAGAGTAGACATGTCCCAGAGTAGACACATCAGCATGACTGGTGGCCATCGCCTCAGAACAGAGCCCACATTTAATACTGACACTAACAAGCTGGAAAGCCCCTCTTAAGGGATATTACAAAACACGTCTTACAAGTGACTACACCTGAAATTATAAAACCCAAACAAGAGCCTCAACCACAGAGATAAGACAATAAATAATGTAATTCTCAATAAACACATAAACATCTCAAATTAGAAGGGTGGTAACATACTTTCTTAAAAATACTTTCCAGGAGTCGCTTGGAAAGCATTTGTGTGGGTAATTTGGTCTTAGATTCTAAGTTTCTTCCTGCCCTGTTTTATGATTATATGTAATGAATGCCACAAATTTAAACACGTAACTGTCCAGCACCATATAAGATACCAGTGGAAAAGAGCCCACTTCATCACTAAGCAACTGCATGTATCTGTGCCCACCTCCCGTAGCCAGTGCGCCTCTCCTCACTGAGGGAGGACTGGCCAGGCCAGCAGAAGGGTATGTATGAGTAGGCTACATGGTAAAGATTCCTGCTCCTGCCTATTTCTCTCTGAGATTCAGTAGACAGAGGGCTGGTCTCCTTCCTTAAATCTAGAGTTTGAAACTACTAACACAGGTTAAAGCCTTGTGAAAGCTGAGCCCAAATATCTGCCTGGGATCCCTTTAAATAATTCTTGACTTTGAGCTTACTTCTTTTAACCAGTTTGGCAAGAGATAGAATAGACCTGCTGTCAAATGCCTGAAATGATTTTGGGGCAGTGAGAATTAAGGTAATGTGGACCTGGCCCTTAAGGAAAAGGCCACTTCAGAGTAAGGCCAACAGAATCTAGGAACTAATGAGGAGTGCTCAAACCCCAAAATGGTCCACTGAAATCAGCTACCACCAGTGAAGGGACTCAAGGGAAAGGACCACATTAGAATCAGCAACTTCCTAAACTAAATAGACTTTTCTTCAGGGCTGTCTTGCCGGAGTGTGGCACTTCCTATCCAAGTGTTCACTGTCCTGCTGGTTACCACCTCTTCCCAACATATCTACGCAGTGGCTTTGTCAGGACTGCAGCCTAGGTCTTGCCTAAGCTACCCCAATATCTTAAGGCAACCAGAGTCTAAAAGCCTGAAAGACACAGGACTCCAGGGACTGACCCTGGGAGTGAGGGAGCTGGCCAGTGCGGACCTTTTCACCAACACGAAGAACTCAGATCTGAAAGGTGTGACACAATACGTATTTCCTGGGAGCCACAGTGTGATCAACAAATATGCTTACTTTTACAAATTGGAGAGAGAAACACAATTTGCTGTGTAAGGTGCATGAACATGCTTCAAAATGCCCTCTGCTAAAACTTTTTACAAGCAGAAGTGATACAGACCTGCCCTAACTCCCATGTTTTCACCAGTTTTTGTCTTAATTTTGAAATTTAAAATCACTTCAGAGTTAGAAAACCAAAACTTTAGGCTGGTAAGATTAAATCCTTTCCATCATTTTATAATGGGCACCCTCACTGTTCTCCAAAATTTGCTTCCAAGGCATGAATTATTAAAGATAATTAAATCCAAACTGGAAATTAGAATTGGAGAGACTGTCCCCACTTAATTCTCACTAATGACTTTCGTAAAGTGCTGTTAATACACTTCAGAATAATACATCCCATTATGCTATAAGCCTGTGGCTGGGCAGCCTGCCTGACACCCATGCACAGCTCAGTGAAGTGCCTATTTTGACCGATGCCCTAGCCAGACTAGGGAGTGCCTGGGGGCTAGGGCAGGAAATGCTTGCTGTAACTCACATCCATGGGAATTTATGGGTGCTCTTCTCTAGGTAAGAATTTTCTTGTAATCACATTCTGTTCTTGTAAACAATGGTTGCTACAATTATGAGCAAGAAGACAACTTTAGGAACTAATAGTCATTTTTTAGGAGCAGGCAGCCTGCTTCTGCATCCATCATCCAAATGCTCCAGGGTTTGTATGCTGGCACACACCTGGGGGAATCAAAGTGCACGGTGGGCCAGTACCATTAAGAGACCTGCCAACAGAGATGCTGATCCACAGAGACATTCTGAAAGACCCTGATATTTAAGGTCAACAGAGAACCCTTCTATTCAGCTTCACCACTGCCCTAGCCAGGCAGCAAGATCCTGTACACATCCCACCCCGAGAGTAGTACTAAACTGCAAGAATGTAGGCCCTTCTCAAGGGGCTTTTGGAATAGAAACCCCACAGGGAAACCTGCAGGCTCCAGGGAGGCCACATCCCTCCATCTGAAAACCGAAGCCACCCCAGACTGTATTCAGGAAGTATTACTATCAAGGGTTCAAAATGCCCAAATTGTCAATTGCTTTAGGAATTGGGAGTTAATGTCTGACTGGTTGCAGTCCAATTCTGAGAACCAGTCATCAGAAGATGCCCAGGTTTGGAGGAGCCTGCAGATGCCTGTCACAGACCAGGACCGGAGGTCAGGGAACCTGACAAGCATCAGCTCTGTGACTGAAGAAGGTTTTGGTTTGGGTCACTACTGACTGCTAGTGCATTCCCACTTACTACACGATACAGATAAGACACATTTTCATTTGCTCACAGGAATTTAGTTCAATACCATCAAAGTATGCATACAATTAGGAATGATGCCTTCTTTTCTTAAACTTAAATGATTGTCTCCTGTACCCTATTGCATTTTCACAGAAATCATTAGCATCTCGGCAAAAGATGTATACAGTTTTCCACTTGCCCTGCGAATAGACACGATGTTGCTAACATTATGCATCAATAAGAAGTGCTTAGAAAGTGCTAATATTACCCTGGTAATTAGTAGTTATTAATTCCAAGGACATTTTTTTATATATATACACACATACTGTTCTCTTAGGTTCTTTTAGTTTTAATACTAGTCTCTGACATTATAAAACTTTGTTTTTTGCCCTTTGAGAATTTCTAAATACAAATTGAGTTAAAAGATTGCTCCAAAATCTGCTCCATCAAAAGGCATTTAAATGTTTCTTATGGCAAGAAAGGATACTACTAGTCTTTTAGTTGCTATTGTCTGGGATTAACAGGTAAGAAGAAACCAGCTATGAAATGATGAACATACTGGAAATATTTGCACATACCAAAATACTACTACTTCATCTTCTTTGTCTCTGAGCAGGCCCAGAGGAACCGTCTGCTCCTCAGCAGGTGTGGGGTGTTCACTATAGACTGGCTCCGGTGATCTGGCCATTGTACTCTGCTGTCTCCATCTTGAGGATATAGGGGATTATGCTGTCTATGGAAACATTGCCAATGAGACCAGTAAAAAAAAGTTCTTCTGTTATGTTGGAGCTCATCAGCCTGAGCGCCGGCAGGCGGACGAGAATCCGGGCCAATCTGTAAGAGGGAGGGTCATTAGAGAAAGGGGGACTCGCTGCCCTTCAGACTTTGTCCTGGACAGGCTCCCAGGGGCCCTCTCTGCACTGCTCAGAATTGAACCACACAACAGATCCATCCACTATTCACTTCTTGTTTTTCTGATTTCAGTAGTTCCTATTGTAGTTTTATCATGAGAAAAAGAAGTGAGTGTAAGGATGTATGTATAACTATGTTTTCTTCATTGTTTATAACAGCTCTCCCCTCCCCCACCAAAAAGAAAAATGTGGAAATCTATCAGTAGAGGATAGGTTAAAAGACATATGGTGTCTTCATATAATGGAGCAATACAAGACACCAGCTCATTAAGAAGGATAATAAAGATCCAAATTCACTGATAAGGAAAGAAGTCCATGACATGTAGCTGAATAGAAACTTGAAAGGAGGCTGTGAAGCAGCAAGTACAGCACAATCACACTTGTGTATATTTTGTGCACATTTGTAAATAGTATTCAAGAGGATATGTACCACAGTGCTACAGGCTGGCCTCTGGGTACTGAAATTTGGAGTGATTTTACATACTAAAACCTTTTCTGTATTGCCCTAATTTCCAGGATTCATTTAGCATTGTAATTTAAAATAAAACGATAAAATTGTTTTTGTTTTAAAGAAACCCTGGGTGGAGGAGGGCACACCATGACTCTATCCTAGAGGGTCATGGGACACTGTCTAAACTGTAGGGGTGTCCAACCTGATGCCCAACACAAAATCGTAAATTTACTTAAAACATTATGAGATGTTTTTGTGATTATGTGTCACAATGTATTTAATGTGTGACCCAAGACAACTCTTCTTGTGGCCCAGAGACACCAAGAGGTTGGACACCCCGGAAACCATTCCACAGCCAGTGCGTGCAGCAGCATGTGAGGACATGCGCAGCAATGCCAGCCCAGTCTGGAAACAACCTACATTCTCACCAGTAGGAAATGTTAAATTACAGCATCTCTTCAGCTATAGAAAATAATGAAGAGTATGTATACTCATTGAATATTAAATTTTAAAAAATGGTTACAAAATCTTACTTTATACTTTATGATTCCAATTACACAGACATAAAAACCTTTTAGAAGTAAATACAGAAAACATTAACAAGTGGTATTTACACAGTTAAATTTTTTTTTGCTTTGCAGAATAAATTTTTTTACAGTGAACATTGTATGTTATTTTTAAAAAGGGAAAATATATTAATATTATGCAAGCAGCATTCCAGCCCATCATCCATTCACCCAGCCACCGTGAGTCTTGCAGGGGCACAAAGGTATAAGAGGACACCACCACAGACCTGGAGGGGTTGACCAGCGGCTGCAGGGTGTCAGGAAGCCAGCAAAGACAAATCAAGGAGGACTTTCTGGAGCATGCCACATCTCAGCTAGGCCATAGAGGCTGGCTAAAATGTCTATCAGCAGAGATGCAAAGAATGGGGAGGAATGAAAGGGTATTTCAGGAGAAATAAACAGTATGAGAAAAAGCATAAGGATGGGAAAGACTAAAAAAAATGAATGTATAAACAGGGCGTAAACCACTCTAGGGCTGTTTCTTTGGGAACTGTCTTTGAGTTTCTGAATCCTATAATAAAGACTCCTTTATTTCAGTTTTGGTCCTAAATCACCCAGCTTGTCCCCTTCTCCTCCAGGGTCCCTGACTGGACAGAGTAACTCAGGACTTTTTCAGAACCTCTACTTTCAGAGACAAAGAGTTGCTATTGTCAAGGTGATTCTAGTGTGCTGGGGCTCTGCTAGCAGCCCCCAGATGGGCATTTTCAGCTGCTTCTCGCTGTAGGCACAGGCACTGTGTGGGAGTAGGCCCGTGGCCTCTTCAGGGGACAGCTTGACTTCACACCTGGCTGGATGCAGTAAGTCCTGGGTATGGGTACATTACTTGTCCCATTTTATATGTACTGAGGCTCAAGATAGTCTAGATTCATGGTGAGGTCTTCAGTGATCCCACTAGATAATGGAACCTGCTTTGGCAAAAGCTGCCTGTAAGCCATGGAGCTGTGCCTAAAGCAGAGGTAGGTTCTCTGCCAGCAGGGCCAGCCACAGGCCTCCCACCAATCATATCAGAGAAATGGTCCTCCTGGGGCTGAGAAGCAAGCTGGGGAAGGTGAGGCCAGGCAGCTTCCCCTGCTGCAGTATTTATTTTGAGGACATAAGATGGGGAGGGAAATACTAAATAATTTGCTTGTTAGGGCCCCAGAAATTCATGTCGCCTCCAGTGGGTTGAAGTGGTCCCGGGGAAAGAGCTCTTCCATTCCTTGGCTGTCTGTCAGGAATTCTGCCCTATTTCAGAACAACTTTCTTATTCAAGTCTGCATGTGAAAGGTGTCTGTCTGTCTATCTCCCAACCCTTACAAATAATACAAATTAACTTTCACCCAAATAAAGGAACTTTTAAAGTTGGGTTATCTGGGGGTAAAATTACTATTTGGCACAACTCACTCACTGCTTTATAGGGGTCAGACTTGGTTTATGTCATGAAAACTTTTCTGTGAAGTACTGTAGCATTGCCTCTGGAGTGGATGCAGACCAGAGAAGCAGGGCTCCCAACTAACTGTTCTGGACAAAGGGTGTCTCTCCTTGAGGGCTCATGCCTCATGCATATGTTAGCCCTATAGGAGACCATATAGCATTGACTCCAACCCCCAAGTCAGAGTAGAGCAACCCAAGGTCTCAACGCTCACAGTTACTCGGCAACACTGGGATGGCCTGGTATTTCTGACTCTTCCCACCTGGCACTTTCCACACTCCATTACCACCTATAAAATGTAGGAATTTGCTAGAAATGGGACAGCTAACATAATTTATACTTGCAACTACAGATCCAGCTGCATTCCTCCCTATCCCGAGCAAGAGCCTGTGTATCTCACCGGTAGGTGTCTTCTGAGTAGGTTTTCTGAACATAGTCCTGCAACTCCATTTGTGCCTTTTCTTGGAATTTTTCAATCTGGCTTGTGCTGGTCAAACCTGGATGATCTGAAAAGAGATAAGTGCCCACAAATTGCCTTCTGTATTTAGAAAACCTCACTGATTTCTTAGTACTTATTTTAAATCAAACTTCTGATAAATTTCTCAAGCACAATGAAACTCTGAAGACTGACTGGGCTTCAATGTCACAGGATTTTCCTGTGCTTAGCCAAGGCCTGGAAGTGCCCAGGAGGAAGCTGGGCTCCCGAGTAGTCATTCTAGCCTCAGAAGTCTCAACTGCTGGTTCCGGATGTTTGACTTCCTATTACTCTGGAAAACATACTGACTTTAAAACTATCACATGAATTAGAAATTTATTTTCTAGATAATTAATCACATAATTTCTCCCATTAAAAAAAATTTTTTTTTAATTTATCCTGGCTAGTGTAGCTCAGTGGATTGAGCATGGGTGTGTAAACCAAAGGGTCACTGGTTCAATTCCCAGTCAGGGCACATGCTTGGGTTGTGGGCCAGGTTCCCAGTAGGGGGTGCGTAAGGCGACCGCACACACTGATGTTTCTCTCCCCCTCTTTCTCCTTCACTTACCCTCTCTCTAAAAAATAAATAAATCTTAAAAAAGTATTTTTATTTATTTCTAGAGAGGGGACGGGAGGGAGAAAGAGAGAAACACTGATCAGCTCTGTCTTGCAGCAGGCCCCCAACTGGCAAGTGCCCTGGCTGGGAATTGAACAAGTGACCTTTCAGTTCACAGGCCAGCACTCAGTCCCCTGAGCCACCAGCCAGGGCAATTTCTCTCATTTCTATTAATTATTTTGTTGTTTTTGAGTGTAGGACTGTGGAGGAAAGGAAAGGTTAAGCTGTGTACAACCCCAGCTATTGAGCACAATGGTAAGGGCAACAGTCAGTCACGAAAAGTGACCTCTCAGGATGCTTCAACAGCAGAGGGGTAGTGAACGAGGCTGGCCCAACCATCTCTTACTTTCCACCAACAGTCCTGCTGACTCTTCTTTACCTGCTGTGACCATAGGTTTTCCTGCAGCAGCTTCTGCTGCTGTCCTCCACAAAGGACTATGGGTAAACTTGTGTACTGTCTATCTACTGGGTTGTATACGCTAACATAACCTGAAAAACTGGCAAAGAACAAAACAAAACAAACAAAAAGGACACAGGATGGTAGAACGCTATTTTGTATGCTGCAGCCCCAATTGGCCAATGGTTTAATTAGGATACAGATTAAGTCTGTATAAAGCCATTTCTTTGGGACTGTAAGGGCAAGAATTTAAAAGAATGTATTTATGTAAGCTAGCAAAGCACACTTATTGTGAAAACATTCAGTCACAGTCTGGCAGGTCTCGTCTCCACTACTGATGACTTCACCAACACATTCATGTTCTCAAACATCAGTAGACACAGGTGGAAAACAGTCAGCACCACCACCACATATCTTACCGGGGCTAAAGAGAACTATAGCTTTAAGGTATGCATACTCATAGCCGTCTATATCCAGCTTCGCCATACTGTTACAGAACTCCTGAAGCTTCCAGATGTGCTCCATGACTTGCTTTATCCGGTCGCCAGAAAGTTTATCTAGAAATCAACATCACAGATCCCCTAAGAAAGGCTAGTAAGAACAATAAGACAAGCTTCTTTGGGGGGGAGGGAGAATAATTTCATGTTTAATGAAAATTCAGTTATCTCAAGATGGTTAAGAGCTTTATTTTCCAGTTGAAGGTAAAGTGACAACAGGTATTCCAATCCCAGAAAATGGAATACCAGGTATTCCGTTTTCTGCTTCAATAATAAACCCCCGAACTAGTGATTCTCCCTGGCCCCACCCTGGGTTGCACCTTTGGCTTGTAGTATAAATTGGTAATTTCTTTTACTCTGTGCTTAAGACCTGTATGTGTGTTCTTATCAATGGGTAAGTTTTCTAAGTCTCTGGAGGCATTTAGTAAATATTTGCTAACTTGAAATGTTGGCATTTTTTAGTCATCAAAACAACCCTATGTTATCTGATTCAATCCTCATGACAATATTTTGCTGAGAGGTATCAGTATTATACTCAGTTAAAAATAAAACTAGAAGCTCATCTGTGAACAACTCTAACTTAAATTCAATAAAATGTTACACGGTTTTAAAAATCACTTTTTTGTAACTATTCCAAAGGAATAACTACAAAGATGTGACTAGGTTAAGTCACATTGCTAGATACCATACATGTGGAATGCTCAATCACAAGTACAGCTGAATTCCTATCTAGCCACAAGTGAGGCTATCAGTGTCAGTCTTGAACCCTGGGCATGTTCCACCCAGACGGTGTCTTCAGTGTACTGAGGACGTGTAGCATGCGGACAGACTGCACTGCACTGGCTAATGCAGACAGACTGCACTGTACTGGCTATCTCCCAGTCCTGACACACTGGGATCTGACCGCCAAATGTTAGAGGGTTGCCACAGGTCTTAGAAGAGAGTCATTTGTTCATTCACAAAGAGCTGAGGTAGCTGTCCTGGACCAGGGGTCTGCATGACTGAAGTTGGTGCCTCAGCTCTTCTACCTGCTGTTTCATTTGGGGCAAGCCAGGAATCTTATACCTCAGTTTCTCCATAGGTAACACTGAGATAATAGTCTCTACTTTACAGAGTTGTGAGGATTTGTGAAATATTATACATAAAAAGGGTAACCTGTTAATGAAGATGAAAACATAAATTATGATTATTCTGAAAATATCACTACATGTCTATATAAGCAGGAAGTTGCCAACTTTTTTCAATTATCTTTTTTCCTCCCTTATTCACTATATGAAAAAAAGGCAATCAGGAGGAAATTTAAGTGTTCTGACTGGCTCTAGTTTTTATTACTTAAAAGTTAAACCCCCCTCAGCCTATGAATGGTGTGGAACACTAAGGCTAGCCAATTTGCAATGGGCCAGCTTTGACAGAGTCCCCCCAGTCCCAGCCCTACCTTCTTGGATGCTGTTCTGCAGGTGGTTGACAATGGCCGCCAGGATAGTAGACAGACTCATGACCTGGGCACACTGGGCCAGGCCGAGCGTGAAGAGCTCATTCCAGCAGGCCCGTACCAGGCTGGTGTTGCAGTCCTGCCTGGGAACACAGAAGGGAAGGTGGGTGTGGGTGTGAGCTGGCACTTCCCAAACCCAGGATGCCTCAAACAAATGGATTCAGCAAGTGTGTGTTGAAGGTCTATGATACATTTCAGCAAGTGTGTGTTGAAGGTCTATGATACATCCAGGATCATTCTCTAAGGACACCACTATCTAAAAATCTCTAAACTAAGTCCCTCTGAGAACAAACTATTCTCTTAAAGAAGATTCTTTGAACTTAAGTAATGAGAAATTTTAATAGGTATGACTAAATCATCATTTACTACAGCCTTCTAAATCTGCAGCTGTCCTGAGAGGATGATATAATCAAAGGACTAAGAGTTCATGAATGTAGACTCTGAAGGGAGGTGACATACCCTACACCTAAGCTCAGGAACTGAGGGCCTGCAAACCTCAAAGGAGGATCTGGGAATATAGTGGGAAGGAAGGGCCCATCCAAGTCAGCTTTCAGCCCTGCCTTAGGAAATTTATACTTAGGATGACATGGCTGGTGCATTGCAACACAGTATGTCTTTATCTCAGATGCCCCCAGATGCAGCATGCCCTTACTTGTCTCCAGATTTAAGGATGACTCCTGCCTCTGTTCCACTCCATCCTTAGCTGCTAAATCTAAGTCCGTAGCACATGGAGCAGGCTTCATAAAGATTTGAGGAACACTGTAGCATTATCAACTATGGTTCCCTGCTACCAGTCCACTGAGTGTATTTAATAAGAAAATAAAGTTACAGGAATAAACTAGAAGGGCCCTCAGAGACCTTCCAGGCCATTGCTAGGGAGGGTAAGGCCCTTGCCAGAGGATTCCCAGAGAAAAAGGCCTCTTACCCAAGTGCCTGAAAAGCTGGGATTGACCTGGCCCAGTGCATGGAGAGGAAAAGCAGGCGGGATGCAGACTCGCAGATGTAGTGCACGTTGAGGTACTCTGGCATTGGGCTGGGCATTGTTAGCTGGAGAAGAGAAGGTACAGAGCACAGGATGTGACCAAGGGACAGGGGATGGCTTGGTCTGTCAATACAGATTCCTGTTGTGTTTCAGCATCATGGCAGCTAAAATTGCTGTCTCTGATGTTGAGGCTCCTGTATGGACCCATTCTCCTATGAAGTGTGTGTTCTCTGCAGGGGGTGCTGACACTGGCTCCCCATGGTTTCTTGTCTAGTCAACTAGGGTTTGATGGCTCTCAGAATGTGGAATGATGAAACCTCTCAGCTTACCCATACAAAGACATATTTTTCAACTCTTGCCTCAATTAAATTGTCTGTCGTCAGGCAATTCCATTTTGAGTCATAGGTTAAAGTTTAAATCAAATTGAGAAAAGGGGGTCAACTTCCTGGATTAACAGACATTTGGTAGGTGGCCTCAAGGCAACAGTGAGTGAGTGAACAGAAGTCCAGATGGTAGGAGAGTAATATCTCACCACCATCATGTCAGGTCTGGGCTCCAGGAGTTCCAGTGTCTAAGAGCTCTAATGCCTTTGAAGCTTGAATCCCACTGGTGATCTGTGTCCTCAGTATCTTTAGGCAATTATTAGCAGGAACACAATCTTTGTAAATGATCAGCCATATCTCTCTAGTCAGGAATGCTGGGGAAACAGCAAGACTCAGCCTGGAGACCTAGAGACCAAGAGGGCTTCAGGGAAGCTGTGAGTGTCCTGTGAAATGAGGCTGGTGAGCAAGAGTGTGGGGAAAACCCATGGGGACCTCATAGGACCCTTCAAGGACACCCAAGATCTACTTTCTATAGCTCTAGAGGGCAGGTGGTCAGGACCAATGGGTGGGAATGAGGGTTGGCTGCTTGCTTTTGGAACAGACCAAGCGGCCTGCCTCAGCCTGTGCTGGAACCAGGCCACCATTGGAAGATGGAAGGCATAGCAGTCAGCTTTTAGTCCTTGCTGGTCAGCCCCACCACATCAGCCTGTCAGAGCTACCTTCAGAGCCAAATGCCACTGTTAGCAAAAGATAGTAAAGATGCTTTATAATGGGAATACAGTTCTAGAATACAATATCCTGATCAAATGCCACGACAGAAAATGAGCTCACTCCAAGGTTTGATTTTTAAACTGACTGGTACAGTGCCCCCCTCCCACAAGGCTGGGGGCACGTGGTTAGGCTTAACATACTCACCTTAAATGTGACATGAGTGTCTGAAAGGAGGGGGCCTTCAACCTCAATGATGGGTGTGGACTGGTCTCTACTGATGACGTGGATGCTTCCTCCTCCACTGGTGTCTATCCCATCTGCCAGGCTTGGAGGTGAGGAGCTGTCTGTGGTATTAAGTGCTTTAGCTAAGGTATCAAATGCCCTGTGAGCAAAATTGAAGCAAGCAAGTGTTGTGAATCCACAGCTTTTAGGGGAAATGAACTCTAGCTGAGACATAATTGAGAAAAACAATGCATTGGGGAAAGATAATTAAGTTCTACTTGCTGAGAGAAGGAATAACAATGAAAGCTTCTATGTATTGTCTATACATCTCATTGGGCACTAAGGTATGTATTACTATTTTCACATGTAATTTTTATTTTTTACAATTTCTCTCCAAGGTAGAATTCTCAATATTTTACAGATGTGAATGCCGAGGCTTATGGATACTAAATAATTTTTCTAAAACTGCCCACACAGTAAGTGATGGAACCAGAATTCTGCCTAACTCAAATCCTATCCTCTTTCTATTGGATCAGATCTAAATTTTCCTACCAGATTGCAAGTGAACATAAGAACTAGCACACTTGTGTGGCCCAGAGGTGCACCTGCCTGGTCTGGCAAGATGTGCAGGAGTGGCTGCTCCCACAGGAAAGGAACAAACACAAGAGCCATGCTGCAGAGAAGAAACATCCCCAGCTGCAGTGTCTGGGACCAACTAACACTGTCTATCACCTAATATCTATCTACCTACCCTGAGGAATTTAAGGTCTACACTCACTACTGGGAAAAAAATACACATGAAGAAATAGTATAAAACAGAACTGGAAAATGGAATGAGCTACTAATACTTAGGCACAATAAAAAGTGACTTGATACAAGTAACATCTATCCACTAAAGAGTTTTTCCTTGCTTCGACTGAGTTACTCATTGTCCTTTTTCACTGTTTGGAATGAAAAGCAATTTTGATTGTTTTATATAAGTGGGCCCACATTCCCATTGTTAAAACATGAAAGGAGACAAATGTGCAGGGGTGCTGTGACAATTTTACAATCCTTGATTAAATACAGGGTGGGTGTCAAAATGCTGCCACCCACCCTCACAATGCAATGACTGAGTGTGCACGTCAGGAGAGAAGCCTCTACCCTCATGGATTCATACCGAGTAATCTCACTTGCAGACTGGTCCTCTGGCTGCATTTCTGAAGTGTCACCATTGTTAAGGGATTCACTTAGGTTGGCAAGGGAGGTTACTACATTTGCCAGTGTGCCCAGAGCTCCCTGGCTTGTTTCAGCCTATGAGACAAAAAATAGTAACATTAAAAGGTGAATACACACACACAAACACACACACGACTCTCAGGCCAATGAAGGTATAATGTTGGTTTAAAAACAGCTTCTATGGGGGTCTGACTACAGTGAGGAAGCATGGGAAGATCTTTTGGCGATGGATGAGTTCTGTATCTCGACTGTGGTGGTTGTTACACAAGTCTACACATGATAAAATGACAGATCAAAGAGATAAACTGGACATCACCAAAATTTAAACTTTTGTGTTTCAAAAGACATTATCAAGAAAGCAAAAGACCACCCACCACCGCACACAAGACAACCAACAGAACAGGAGAAAATATTTGCAAATCATATATCTGATAATGGTTTAGATGCCAGAATAGCTAAAAAACTCTTGTAACTCTGTAACAAAGATGAATAAGCCAGTTAAAAAAAGAATTTTTTTAGGCAAACTGATAGGCAAAGACTTTAGGTAGACATTTCTTTAAAGAAGATACACAAATAGCCATAAGCACATGAAACGATGCTCATCACTGGAAATGTAAATCAGAATCACAATCAGATACCACTTCACACCCACTAGGTTAGCTATAATAAAACAAACAAGGTTGGACAGGATGTGGAGAAACTGGAACTCTCATACACAGTTGGTGGGAATATAAAATGGTACAGTTACTGAGGAAAACAGGCAATTCCTCAAAAGTTTCAACACAGAGTTACCCTATGACCAGCAGTTCCACTTCCAGGTATATCCATTAAGAGCAATGAAAACATGTCCACAAATATACTTGTACACAAATGTTAAGAGAAGCACTATTCGTAATAGACAAAAAATAGAAACAACCCAAATGTTCATCAGCTGATGAATGGATAAATAAATGGCATAGCCATTTAAAGGCATGTTACTTATCAATAAAAAAGTACAACAGAACAGTTGAACCCCCCTGGTTTCATGGCCTTTCCTTGCAGTGTTAGTTTTCTCTCCATTCCACTACCCTGTCAGTCACTGTCTCGAATGTCTCCTGGGTGACAGCAATGAGCCGGGTGCAATTCCCAGGTCACACACATCACCGCTAACCAAAGATAGGAAGCTCAAAGCCCAGCCTGAAGACCACTGGGTGGAGGGCAGCTCTCCGTGCCAGCCAGTGGCTCTAATTTTTGCCTTTTCTTTCCCAAAAGAGGATGCACGTTAATGTCCTGAGTGTGCACATAGATGTGCACATGAACAAATGAGAAGGCAGCCTGCAGGCCCAGCTCTAGTTCTAAGGGTCACTCTGTTACTGAGTCACTCCTTTTAGAGAAGAAAAATTGGACCTCAGCTGTGGCTGACTGCTACTTTGGGTCATATCAGGAACAAGATGAAAAAGACAATGGATTCCCCTGCCTGGATAAAACCTTCCTCTTTAATTACCTTCATACAAGTTAGCCAGTTGTCTCTCTCTCATTCTCAGATTGAGAAACATCTCTGACCCCACAAGTTAAATTCCATATGACTGATTTGCTCTAACAGTTTTAGAATTGTTAGAATCCTGGCTGAGTTTCCTCCTGCAGGTTATCTAATAAAAAGGAACTAGAGGCTTCTATAAAAGGCCATCTTGGGATAAGTAGCTATTTCTTCAGCATGCTAGCAGTATTCCAATGTGTGCACCAGGGGGAAAATCTTAATAGAGAAGAGAGCCACAGAACTTTCTTCAAATTGAACTCTAAACCCTGTTATAATGACTGTGAGCAGCCAGCCCTTACTGAATTTCTGAGAAGTGATTAGCATCTCCAAAACAAATCATGGTGCTGGGGTGCTGGGGTAGGGCAGTGGGGGAGGGCTACATCACAAGAAATACATTAGAAGCAGAAGGTCATGCTTTAAACATGGCTTCTGAAGGCCAAGAAGAAGATGGTACACACATTTAGAAAAGCACAGCAACATAAAGGTATGAGAAAAGGCATAACATTACCTTGGAATCTGTGGCCAGAAGAACAGTACCATCTTCACGTATCAAAGGTTGCTGGATGTTCACAAGCATCCCTGGATCAAGAAGACCTGTTTGTCTATTTAAGACATAAAGAAACCCAGAGTGGCTTCCAACATTTAATGTACAGTACAACCATGCTATATTTCCCTGTCTCTTCCACACCTGCAGGGCTGAGTAGAAGAAAAGCTCTAACTAGACTTACCCACCAGGGAACTGAACCGTTTTCTCTCTGTAATGAGATGTGCGTACAGCTGGGTCTACTGCCTGAGGCAGGAGGACACAGACACACATCCCCAGGGCTTCCATGGCTGACTGCAGACTGGCCGCTCTGCCAAATAATGTTAACTTGATTTTCAGAATGGCATCAAGACATTCTCAACTCTTGTTCTCTCTACAATAGATGTGGATTTCTTGTTTTCCCTCTCTCTGTTCCTTTTAAGTAAGTTCAATAGATTACTTTAAAAAGGACAGTTATAAACTACCTTGTGGTACCATCTGGGACCACACCTGGGACCATTAGCCTTTTGTCTGTACTGCAAAAAAGCCCTAATCTTGAATTACAGAACCGTTTTCCTGTATGAAAAATGTCAAACTACAGGGCATAAATCTGAGCCCTTGAAAAATTCTGACCCCATCAGCCATCTTCAGGACTGTCCAGGGGAGTGACAGGAACAGCTCCACAAAGAGTGGGATGAGGCCAGACAAACTGGATGGCTGTGGTAGGCCGGTGGGGGGCTGCAAAAGCCCCCTTCCCAAGACACACTGGTGCCTCCTCCTATTACCATCAGCAATAAAAGCTGATGGTAGTGTTACCCTCTGTCAAAACAGGGACTGACCTTGCTCCATCTTTATCTGCCACAAATGTGGGAGTGGCAATCAGAGGACTTCTCAGGTCCTTCCGGATATAGATTTTCTCAGTTGAAGCAGCACAATTGCTTGGTTTCTCCCGTTGTACATCAAAGGGCTTCCGTTCACTCTGTACAGCTTAAATCACAACATAAATATTAATGTTTAGAGGAAAAACTTAAATAAAGATCATATCCTTCATGCTAAAGTAAGGGGTCTTACATAGAAAGTCTAGCTCAATTTTCATAGTGGACTTTTTAGCCAAAGGAGAGAAGGGTTCAAAGCCAAACAGTGCCATGCCAAATCTAAAGGCAGGAAAAAGAGCTCAAGATGGTGGGCATGCCCTGCAAGGAACTGCAGCACAGCATCTGCATGGCCTTGGGGCCCATCCTGAGCCCTCTGGGTTTTTGCTTCTTACTTGCTAACAAAATTGACTCCCAGGAAGAGAAATACCCATCTTTAAGTGAGTCTCTAATAGAGAACTTGTCCAATGGCTCACATTGTAGAGGGACAATTCTAATGTGCACCTCAAGCCTGCATGACCTCTGCAAACTGTTCAATGGTGTCAATTTTCTATCACCCTAGGAACTTCTCCCTTCAGCAATCTGGTCTAAGGACAGGTATATATGATAGAAACAACTGAAGAAAATAAAGACCTTTTTATTTAGCATTAAAAAAAAAAACATTTTACTTACTTATTTTTAGAGAGAGGGGAAGGGATGGAGAAAGAGAGGGAGAGAAACACTGACTGGTTGCCTCTCCTGTGCACCCACAACCCAGGCATGTGCCCTGACTAGGAATCAAATTGGCAACCTTTCACTTTGCAGGACAATGTCCAACCAATTGAGTCACACTGGTTAGGGATAAAGACCTTTTTAAAAGAAAGACTGAACCCCAGATCCAATATGTAAGAAAGGCAAGGGGTTCTATTTCACAGAGGAGGCTCCTGTGGCTTAACAGAAGCTACATGACTTCCCCAGGTCTAACAGCTCCAAAGTGGCAGATCTGGAGTTTGACCTGGTATCAGCTTTACTCCAAAGCCTGTGTTCACTCCACTCTACAGTGCTGCCTCTCCATTTACCAGGAGTAGGTTTTCACATACACATGGGAAAGGACCAACCCCAGCAGTGTCAGAGTTGCAGCACCTAGCTGATCCAAGATAAACCAAAATGAAGGCTGAGTGGGTCTTTTTTCTTCATATTTTAAAGTCAGGTATAGAAACCTTATTTAATAGACTCTTGCTCACTTTCTCCTTGTTAACTCATGTGGTTTTTTAAATACTGTCACTCACATTCCATTTTCATGCCCATCTCTAAGCATTTTTTCAGCCGGCAAAACTGACAGCGGTTCCGGTGATGCTTATTGATGATGCAATCTTGGTTGCTCCGGCAGCTGTAGGTCAAATTTTTCCTTACGCTCCTTTTGAAGAAACCTTTGCAACCTTCACAACTGACAGCCCCATAGTGACGGCCTAAAAGGATAAAGAATGCATGAAGTAGTTCACCAAGAAGAGGTGACCTGTCATAGGCCCTGTTTTTAAGGCAAGCCTATCAAAGTCAGATGCCAGTGCCGTGTGGACAACCACAGGCCTGGGCATTAAACATGGTACTCAAGTCCTTCAGAGAATTTCTATACAATTTTTATAACAGCCCTACAAGGCCATGATGGAAAAACTTAAGCTAAGACAGGTGACATGACAGCTAGTAAGTGGCATGACCTTAATGTTCTTAGTATATGAAGGACCTACCATAAAGCAGGAGCTCACTGGGCATGGCCACACTGCATGCACCTGGCTTTGGTTTGAAGACCTAGGCTTGTGAAGCTACTCAGCTCTGCCACCTACCAAGAGGGCAGGTAGCAAACACATGCATGTACATTTCACTCCTGCACTTACTCCCACTGTGTGAGCCATGTCCTACGTCCTAGACCTCCCCTGGGGGAAGTGAAATGATGAGAGTAGAATCAGCATGGGGACAGTGACAGGGCAGATCCAAGGTGAAGGAAGGCTGCCATGTGGCTCATTTGAGTTAGCTAGTCAGAACCTTTAGGAAACACAGTCCTAGAAATACACTTATTAAAACACAGTTCCTTCTCCCTGCCCCTCCAATCTTGGTTATTTTGGTGTCTCTAAACCCTAATTACCAATGATGTTAAAAAGAGCCCCCTAGCTCAGTTTACCCTCCTTAGTTCACAAAATGCTTCTACAGTTATTATACCTCATTTGCTCCCAGCTGGGACTAACAATACTTTAGTCTTTTTTAAGAAAATTGAATTTATTGGTTAATAAAATTACATAGGTTTCAGGTGTACAATTCTGTTATATATCATCTGTGTACTGTATTGTGTGTTCACCATCTAGTCAGGTCTCCTTCCGTCATCCCATAGTTCAGTCTTATGTAACCCAATGTCTTCATTATTGCTGGGAGGACACTTTTCATAGGACCATCATCTACAGCAGCTACAGAGCATCCCATTGTCCTAAGCTCTAGCACTCAGAGTGATTCCCCAAGGGTACACCTAGAGGTCTCAACTTTGTGCCTTTAAGAACAGTTGTGCTAAAATTACCTAAGATGTAGGCATCATTTTTCCTTCTTTGCAGGGTATTTCTTTGGGGTTTCTAGCCCTTAGGGTGACCTCTGGTATCTGGAAACAACGGCACTGTGAGCTTGTGACTAGGCTGTTCCTTTATGCCAAGAAAGGGACTGACAAATGGGGAAGGCAAGCAGATTCTGTGCCCCTTTCCTTATGTTCATGCTTCATTCATTTGTTCAAAAGTTTGCAGAGTGTCTCTTCTTGCTGAGCAAGAAGGTAGGGATACAGAGATGGAGGGGTTAGACATGGTTCTTGCTCTAACAAAAAAGCATATTCTGGTGGGGAAGACAGACCTGTAAGAACCAATTATAAGATAGTGCAACAAAGCTCAGTGAGGTCTATATAAAAGGGGGACAAAGACAGAGATGACACAGGTGAGGACTCCAAAGGGGTAGAATGGGCTGGGCTCATCAGGATAAGGGGTAGGAGCAGAGGCAAGGTACCCCTGATAGGGCAAATGGTATCACAAGCGGGATGGAGACTGGAGCTTCTATAAATGCTTGCTTGGAGCAGTCTTTTCAAGAGACTTGGTCCATACTCCTTTAAAAATAAAACAAAACAGGACCACAAAGTATCCCAAGGTCCCCTGAATTTTGTGAAACAGAATAAAGTGTAACCAAGCAGCCACCAAAACTCAGGCTTGTGCCTCTAGCATCATTGGAACTGGACCTTTATTAAATATTTCTCCGTTCCTCCCTGTCTGCCTCACTTAGCTTCCACAGTGTTCAGTGTTAGTAGGCCCAAATCTGAACATTTGGGCCAGATATATTCTCTCCTCTCCTTGTACCGATATGCCCAAGAGCTCTTCCCCAAAGACACCAGGGGTGTGGACATCAAACTGAGCCTTGGCTCCACCAGCTGGAATGCCCTTCCACTTTATCTGACATGGGCACACTCAACCTCCAAGGTCCACAGGTGTCTGACTGCCTCTGGGGGCCTTTCCTGACCCTGGGACTCCAGCCAAAATCACATGTTTCCTTCTCCACTTTATCATTTTGTCACACTGGGTTATAGGGAGGGGATGACAGAGACAGTTTACAGGATGAAAGGGGAGTAAGTAACACAGCTTGTGAAATAGCAAAGCACTGTGCAAGTATTGACTAGATTAAAGAAATGATTACTTTCTTAGCAGCACATACATATTCAATACTCAGTTATGATTTACAAACCACGGAAACAGTTCCCTGACTTTTCTTTCAGGTTCTAATAATCTGACAAACTGGTTTGTTTATATATATCATTACCCGGGTGCAAAAAGCGAAGTCCACATTTTGAAACCTATAGCCCAGTTGGTGCATGACAGTAGTCCATGATGCATACCTAGCATGACCTAGGGTTACTTACCAGAGGCTTTGTCGCCACAGACTACACAGTACTCTACCACCTGGGGCCGCTGGACATCGGCCTTCCCCAGCAAACGCTCCACAGAAGCAGAGTCCGTGACAATCTAAGAAGAATCAGAAAACAAGCAGGGTATGGATTAAAAACTAGATTGCTAAGAAAAGTAATGTTTCACTGTAAATTCCTAATCTTGGGTTTCTAAGCAGGACAGATGATCTGGACAGAACTGGGAACATTACACCTGACAACTTAAAACCCAGAATGGCCCTGCTGCCCATCTGGACTGCACCTCTTCATCAGGGGTGGGTGGGTGCAGGTTGAGGATCAAGCACTGGTTTTCACTGATCTGCTCTCCTGTGTGGGTGGTTCCCCACAACCACCCAGGATTGGGGGACTTGTAGGGAATCACACACAGAAGCCTCAACATGATACTGAAGGTCTTAATGGCTGCCTCTCTGTTCCCACACAACAGCTTGAACGCATGCAGAGAGGTGTATCTAGCAGAGAAATAATCAAGCTTTATTAATTAAGTCAGTCAGTCTCTCACTGAGGCAGCTTAGAGTGCAACAACAGGAATAGTTATTTTATTTCTCCTTTATTTGTAGGTGACCTTCTAGGTGCCAAATAGTGCTACTCACCTAGAAGAATACTGTAGCTGATACCAATACAAAAAAGTGAATAATAGCTGTTATTAAATAATGTACCAAATATAAGCCTTAAAATGATATATGTATGGTGGGAATATATACAGAAATCATTATGTAGAATGACCTCTTGTAAAATATGCAGCAAAATCAAAAGCCTCCTTTCACAAACAAGTAGTCTTCTAAATAAGCCTCGAGGAATTCTGATTTCAGATGATTAGAATGTACTGTGGGAAAGGAAAGATAAGGCAACATTTACTAACTGCACTATGAAGTGCCTCAAAAGTACAATTCTGAAAGTTGAACACACTGGTGTTCTAAACCCAGCTTTATTATAAGAAAAAAAAAATCCTTGCCTTCCTTAATTTTTCTCCATAGTAAAAAGTCTGCCCCCAAACACAGATTTTTAGCAGCATTACTTGCAGTAACCAAAGGTAAAAGTAACCCAAGTGTCCACTAACAGATGAATGGGTAAACAAAGTGTGGTATACATATATAGAATATTATGTATTTAGCCTTGAAGTGGAAAGAAATCCTGACACCTGCTATGACATGGGAGAATTTTGAAAACCATATTATGCTAAGTAAAATAAGTCATTCACAAAAAGACAAATATTGTAGGATTCCATTACTATGAGGTCCCTGGAGTAGTCAAATTAATAGAGACAGAAAGTAGGATGGTGGTTACCAGGGGCTGGAGGTGAGAGGATGGAATGGAAGTTACTGTTTAACGGGCACTGAGTTTCACTTTGAGAAGATGACAAGGTTCTGTGGATGGACAGTGGTAGCAGTTGCACAACAATGTGAATGTGCTCAATGCTACTGAACTGCACTTTTGAAAATGATTAAGATGATAAATTTTGTTACATTTTACCACAAACTTTTAAAAAATTAAAAACAAACAAAACCATGAATTCCAACCTGACCCTGACTAAACATGCTCCATGCCTGGCCTCTGTGGGACACTGACCTTGAGTGCCCTTTTAAGTGTTGAGGTTGGAAATCAGTGCGTCCCAAAAACCCTGCTTTCCTTTAAGGCCTTGCTCTTCATCCTGTGACCGCCCTGACCCCATCTCACCCTGCCACAGCAGGGATAAGCAGGGCAGAAATGGAGATGAGAATTGACAGTCCCAGAGGCAGTGGTGCACAGGAGCAAATGAAGACACAATGAACAGCTAGATGAGGCCTGACCATCTGGACAAGGATAAGGTAAGTTAGTCCTTACCTGACTAAGTGTTATCAATAAAATACCGTGGGCAAAGGGCTGCCATCGTGTGGCCTTAGTTAAGAACTAAGTGGCCTCAGTGCCAGCTTGTTCATGAAAGTCTCCTGTGCACCACTGATTTTTCCCAGCTCAACTTCCCATCTGAACACTGTAGTTGGCTGCCTTCTAAGTCTTGCCATTCATTTGCTGACTTTTGCTTTAGCCAAAGCAGCAATCTGCCATGTTTGCCAGCCCCCAAAGAACCTTCTAGAGATTAATTTGGCCTCTATGGCAGATATTATAGCCAGGAACAAGTTCAGTAGCAGAAGTGTGAAAACAAATGCCTGTCAACAAGCCTAACCTGGATCCTGCCAGGAACAAGGTTGTCCGAGGTGGTGAATATGAGCTGCTTGGCACTGGATGTCTCTGGGGAAGCCAGGATCACCTTCCCAGTTCCAGCTCCATCTGGGCTGGTCAAGATGAACTGCTGCTTGGGGGATCCGGAGGTGTCCACTGCGGTGACTATCTGGATCTTCTGTCCTGTCTGCTGGTCTGTCACAATCTACAAGACACAACATGGAGGCTGCTCTCACGGAGCATTGTGCGACTTGTGCACTTGCAGGTGGTTCTCAAAGCGGTGTCTGCCCAACGCCGTCCTGGAGTCAATGCTGGTCCAAGATGCAATTTCACCAGTGCATGGTGAAATGAGAAAAATAAAACAAAAGAGTGAACTTTTCAGAATACAAATTTTATAAAGCTAGTTTTATTTTAGGATGGTATCATTTCCACTCTTTTTAGAATTAAAATGCCCTTTAGGGATGAGAAGGGGAATTGAGTGAAGGTGGTTAAAAGTTACAAACTTCCAGTTATAAGAAAAGTAAGTCCTGGGAATGTAATACACACAACATGAAGACTACGGTGAACTCTACTGTATGGTGCATTTGAAAGTTACTAAGAGAGTAGATCCTAAAAGACGTCATTGCAAGGAAAACATATACTTTTTTCTTTTTCTGTGGATGTGAACCAAACTTATTGTGGTAATCATTTCACAATATATGTAAGTCAAATCATTAGGCTGTACACCTTCAACTTACACGGTGCTGCATGTGAATTATATCTCAAAACTGGAAAAAGAAAAGCCCTTTCTCTTATAAAATGAAGGCAGCAATAAATAGTAGATGATAGGTTTAACTTAAAAAAATAATATCCTTGTTCTGGGCACAATAAAAAGTGTGAACAACTTTTTTGAAATGCTGCTGACCAACCAAATGCAAAAACTGGAAATGACTCCTTTAAAGAAGGGTTGTTTTTGAATGGAAGGTCCTCTAAATAATCTTGCCTTGTGGTGACAGTACAGGGAGTCCCTTGCTGTCATACTCCCAATGTCTCCCACTTCCTGGCTCAGAGGTCTTTAAAGATAGGGATGACACACCATTCAGGGCTGTATCCCCAGGGCCAGCACAGGGGCTGGCACATGGAGAGAAGACTTTAATAACAGACTATGAAAGTATTGAAGGTGCTAACTCTGCGGAAGTTCTGACCCTGAACAACTCTGGGGACTCCTACCATTCAGAAACTCAGCTGTCAGGGGCTGCCTCTCCCGAAAGTCTCTACCGAGTTCATCAGTCACGATTAAAATAGTTGCTATGGCAAGACTGACTTCTCTTATTCCCACTCATAAAGTTCTTTGAAGCTGTTCTAGGCTAGGCTAAGAACCTGCTGTCTCCCAGGCTAAGTGCCCAGCTTAGGGCACTGCCTACCTTCTCCCTGAGGACACTCACAGGTCCTCACTCCAAACAGGAGTCTTGGGGTTGCTGTGGCAGGGCCTTGGGCAAAGGGCAATGCGTTGCATCTTTGGCTGGAACTCAGTTCCCTACAGCATATTTATGGGCAGGTCTGGAATCTGCATCACATCTTGACAGATGTTGCTTTGTGACTGGGAATTCCATGGTTGAACAGGAAATGCACAGTTTAACATAAGAGCTTTGCCAACTGTTCAATATGGAAAATCAGGCAATGCTGGCTAGTTCAAATGAAAATGACATAGGTGGGAAAGATGCAATCACTTAACAACACATGTTTAAATGAGCACCCAGTATGTGTCAAGCAATGTTCTCAGTACTAGGGAGAGGGACATGAACGCCACTAAAGCCCTACCTTATGAAGCTAACCTGCTAGCAGGGAAAACAAACCATGAATACTCATGTCAGTCAGTGGTAAGTGCCATGGAGAAAACTAAAAAGCAGGGTAAATGAACAGAGCATGACAAGAGGAAGTAGCCAAAGGAACAATTTTAGAAAGAAAGACCTCTCTGAAGGAGTGATGCTGAGCAAAGACCTGAATGAAGCAAGAGAGAAGCCATGCAAAGATGTGGCAAAATGTGTTACAGGCTGAGGGCACAGCAAATGCAAGACCAGAAAGAGCAGACCGGGGACAGAAGACACAAAAACAAATCTTAGCTGATGGCTGGGCACGAATCCCAGTAAATCATCATCTCCAACTGAAAGGTCAAAAAATCTTTAAGGCTGAAGAACAGATTTAGAGAGAAGCAAAGGAAGTACCTTTCATTGTTAAAATTTGTGGCATACCGAGAGTCCTCTGGAACAGTAAAACATGAGAGAAAAGCTTTTAGAAAGAATGCTCTTTTAAAAAACTTTCCTACACAATGTTCAACTGAATGGCTGAAGACAGACTGGTTGACTTTTCTCAGATGCCACAGAAGGGACTTCTGCCTTAATTAAGAAGTAAGCACAATGGCCTTTGGAAGGTCATTAATCACACTGAGATCTGAGTCAAATGTTTGACTTTCTTTTCAGTTTTTATTTCCTTTTGGGTTTCTCTGTTGAAAATGAAATAGTCATGTGATTCAGAGGGGTCTTACAATTACCAACTACAAGCAAGGGAAGGATATAGCACAGTAAGTCCTTCACCCTTGGAGTGTTCAGAGATAATGCACACTGTGCCTGAGCACCCACAGTAACTGGCACGTCTCTTCCTTTTATGCTATCCCTAGTCCTCTTGGTGGAGGCAAGGAAGGCACGGGGCTGGGCAGGAGGTAGGAGGGGACTGACTGGGTCCAGACAGGGACAGTTGCTCTTAGTGACTATACATGTAACTTACCCCAAAGCCTATTTTCTTTTTTTCTTCAAAGATTCAGGCCCACATGAGGTCAATGAGTTATTTACAAATATTTAAAAATCTTTTTGTTTATTCTTCCCTCATAAGACATTTCCATTTTCCATTCAGAGAAATCACCTCTATGAAAAAACTAAAAATGTAAGCAGAAAAAAATTCCCCAAATACCCTTGTGGAGACCCCAGGTGACCATTAGACAAACCAAAATGCTGCTAACAGACATGAGCAGGTAGACTCCTGATTAATGGGACCAAGAAATTATCAAATTAAGAGGATGTATCCAGACTTGTTATTACAGTGGGTCCTAAATCTAATGATTGGTGTCCTTATAGGAAGGCCATGTTATGACAGAGGCAGAGATTCCCATAAGCCCTTTGGTTTCCACTGCACAATTCTGAATAATATGGAAAATTTTAGAAATGCCTACATCACATTGCAGCAGACCTGACTATTCCGAGAACCCAAGGATCTCTCTAATTGTGCTCTCAAGGGACCTCAATGTAACCTGACACACTGCGATTCTCCTCCCCTCTGTTCCAGCTAGGGTGGGCTCACCATTTCTGTTGTAGAGAAGAACCTGCAAATGGACCTCCTGAAGGCAAAAACCAGCCACTGAATAATTTTTGTCTGGCTTTGTAAAGTTTAAAATGTTAAAAAAAACTGGTTGCCAACATCTGAAAATAGAGTATTTTCCATTAAAATCAAATCTACAATTTCCTTGACAAAACTTGAAGCTCTTGGGCCCATCTCAGGCCCAAGTTCCCTCATGGCACTGGCTGGCTGGGTGTAGCTGCCTCTTTAGATTAGAGGATCTCTAGTTTGTCCCAATCCCTACCTTGGCCACCTGGTCCTGTAAACACTTAAGTTCGTGATTCTGAGACAAAGCTTTGCAGCTAGAGCCACAGATAAGATGCTTGCTCTACTGCTTCCCAGTTGTGTCAGCCTCGGACAGTTATATGAGCCTTCTGAGCCTTGGCTTACATATCTATAAAAAAGGATTACTAAGAAAGTGAAATGACATGATATGAGTGAAAGTACTTGGTATATTGCCCAGAACATAAAAGGACCTCGATAAAAGTGTTTCCTCCCTCTAAGCTCTCACATACTTCTCTCCTCACTTAGGAAGTCTTGTCTTAGTTGTTCCACCTCATTGTCTCCCTCTCCCAGTGGAAAGATCAAGACTTTCTACTGTGGCTCACTCATGCTTTCCTTTACTCCTCAAATACTTACAGGGGTCTACTCTGTGCCAAGTGCTTTGCTAGATTACAGGCATTGTGGAAATGGCTCCTGTTCTCATGAAGCTTTTAGTTTAGTGGAAAAGACTTGCAAAACAAAAAAAATAAGTAAATAGACCAACTAAGTTGATTTCAGTTTATGATACATATTATGAAGGTAAATGATCACGTTGGGAAAGAGAGAATAACACTGACGCTTAACTTTAGATAGAAAGGTCAAAGAAGGCTGCTGTGAGGAAGTGGCATTTAAAACAAGATTCAATGCTGAGCAGAAGGGAGCCAGATAAAGGTTTAGGGACAATTGTTCCAAGTAACAGGAAATGTTCTGTCATCTAGAAAGCCCTAAGAGGAAGGAACTTTTAGAACTGATCTTAGAAGGCCATGGACAATGAAGAATGACCCAAAGGAGCCTAAAGAGGGATATGGGATGACCCTGTTGGGAATCTGGATTTCATTCAAAGCACAACAAGAGTGCACTGGCTGGGTAGCGCAGTTTGTTAGAATGTTGTCCCGATACACCAAGATTGTGGGTTTGATCCATGATCTGGGCACATACAAGAATCAACTAATGAATACATAAATAAATGGAACAACAAACTGATGTGTGTGTCTCTCTCTAAAATCAATAAATTAAAAAAAAAGTACAATGAGAGCTACTCAAGGGGATTTTCCCTTCTAAAACCAGGTCTTCAAGTTTCTTATACTATTTTACATCTACCTTACAGAATTTACACACACACACCCACACACCACATACATACATACATACATGTGTTTACAAATGTACATGAATATATATAAAATTTGTCGGATCATTACAGGTCAGGGTATATTAGAGCATAACAAAGGACAATAGCAAAGATAATTAAATTAAAAATAAAAAGTAAAAGAAATCTGTTCAAAGATATTCTTGATCTTTAAACTCATATGAATTGTTAGTGTTGCTTGTAGGCAATGATCAGACAAGTAACTTCTCCATTTAGCCCCACTAACTCAATCCCTGCAAAGTTTAGGTGGATAAATAATTTGATACAGCCTTCTTCCCTGAATAACATGAAAGAGTATTTTCTAAAAACATTCAGGGTTTTAAATAAGTAAATACTGGGAAATGCTTTACATTTTAAACAGATCTTCCTGGATGTTGGATGAAAAAAGAACAAAACAAATAGAAACTGAGGAAATGTTGGGATGC